ACAGCTTTCCTTGTAAGTGTGGTTTGGCCTCACAATTGGCCTCGTTTGGAAGTGGTTGTCGACATTGAACGTTGCAATTTTGGCTGGTCAGAGTGTCGCCAGCGGGGACCAGGTGGCGTTCTCCAATTGCATCCCACCATGAGCTTCAACTTACATTGTCAAATAGCTGGCATAATAACACGATGCTCGGCATCTAAAGTCTCCCTTTCCATCTTTTCATCGCCCCTTTACATGAATGACTTGGTCTTGAACGTTCTTTGATGCTTCTTGTATCTTGTTTATTTTAAGGGTATTTTAAGCAACCAAAGGAGCAGCGGAAGTGGTTATCGTGATGACAAGTGTGGCGGCAGGATTGTGGCTTAGCATTAAGCTCAAGCTGGCGCCTAGAAGTTCCAAGTTCCCCAAAGGAGGCGCGGCGTCATCAGCTTCGTAACCCACTTTAATGTCATCTCGCCAGCTAAGGTACCCTCCAGTCTCCAACCCCTCCGTCCGGGCGCGCGCATTCCGCAACGTCCTTGCACCTAACAATCTCGCGAAAGCAAGCAAATTACCCCCCCTCCATCCTCAAGCAGACTCGCCTGCTAGCTACTCCTTTTCTTTTGCTGGGGACCTTCATCTTACACCGAGACGAACTCTCTCCCAAGGAGAGAAGAAGTACTGGAGAGCGACCGAACAGTAGTCATGTCTGCCCCCATCGAAACAGTGCGCATATATCCCGTCCCCCGAAACAAGCCCAAACTTCATGCAAATGTACCCTGTCAAGAGAGAGACTGACACCCTCATCTCTTTTTCCACAGAACAAGCTTACTTCCTCGAGCGGGCCCGAGTCGCCTACAACAGTCCGACCCCTGGATCTGTCCGACGACGAAGACATCCAGGAAACAGGTGTTCTCGGCGGTGAGGCTCCTACTACATCTCAGGCTACCACCAAGACCACCAGCACCAACACCACCTCGTCCAACATGACCTCCTCGACACCCGTCGCCGCCGAAGCGGCCCCACCAAAGCCCCCGCGACCCTCCGGCGAGACGCAGAAGACGGAGGACATCTTGAAGGAGGCCTTCCCTAGCATCGACATCTCCGTCGTCAAGGCGGTCCTGAGAGCCAGCGGCGGAAAGATTGATCCGGCTTTCAATGCCCTCTTGGGTATGTGTCGCGTGACCCCCCATCGCTTACCCCAAAACCGCCAACAAAGCTCCCTTACTGACAGGGCCCCGATATAGAAATGACTGATCCCGATGCGGCCCAGCACGAGACAACCGACGAACAACCCCCTCCCCAGCCTCCCCGCCCCCAGGGCGGCGCGCAGCTGTCCCAGCTCGAAGCCGACGAGCTCTACGCACGACAGCTGGCGGAGCATTTTGACAATGTCGGAAGCTACGAAGCTAGAACCTCTAACCGGAGCCCCGGCGGCGGCGGCGGCGGCCGTGTGAGGAGGCAGCAGACCGGCCTCGAGCCCAGACCGAACGCCGAGGACCGCGAACCCAACTTCTTTGACGATGAGTTGCCGGTGATTCAGGAGAAGCTCAGAAAGGGATTCGTGGAGACGCAGGGCAAGGTCAACAGCTGGATCACCACAATGAAGAAGAGGTTTGACGAGGAGTTTGCCGACGAGGACGAATCCAGTCACCAGCGGCCGGGTCAAGGCCAGGGCCAGGGCCAGTATGGCGCCCGACGACCCGGCGAGTCGAGCCGCCGCAGCGGCGACTACGAGAGATACGATGCCGATCCCCAGGTACTCAGCGACGACTTTGCGGGTATGAAGTTCACCGCCGACGGAAGTAAGTCCCGATGCCCCTTTTCGCGGCTACATCCCCCGTATTGCACTGTTGCTATCCCGCACGATCTAACAAGGGGAACCAGCGCCTCTCCGCGATAACAACAGACCTCTGTCAAACCCTGACCTCTACAAACCCCCTCCACCCTCAAAGTCGCCCAAGCCCCACGACGGCCGCAAGGTGGCCTTCAGGGAAGGTGCCGAGGAGATTGACGTGTACGGCTCGTCGCCCAGACGCTCCGCCGAAGACCTGTCCGGTTCAAAGGCAAAGGCCAGCAAGTGGCAGCCCCTGTCGACGGTCGACCCGAACCCCATCAGCGACAACGACCCCTTCAGCCTGGGCGACAGCGAAGACGAGCGGGAGGCGAAGGAGAAGGCCGCGTCCACCAGCAAGGAGACTACTACCAAGGATGCCGGCGCCAGCTCGGAGGACAGCGAGAGGCTCAAGAAGGCCGCCGCCGAGGCTATGGCGGATAGCCTCGTCGAGTCCAAGAGCGGCGAGGCGGCTGGTGCTGACGCCAAGAAGAATTGAGATTTTGAACCTCCAGAGCGAGGCGTGACTGTTGTGATCTGAGGAAGTAAGGGTGGCTTTTGCGTTGATACACTACTTTCATTTTCAGATATCCAAAACCGCCCACGCCATGGCTTGAGCGACATGACGAAGACAGCCTGGCAAACGAGGGGGTCTCGGGAGGCATGGCGAACCTGGGATTTTCATGATTCCCCCTTTCCATTTCACTAGGAAACGTACCTTTAGTTAGGACATCTAAATTGAAAGTATCCCGCAATCTTGTTGCTGTTGCCCAAGTCTCTCCCTTGTTGTTGAAGAAATCCAAAGTCGGATTTCATGTTGTTGTCTAAAAATCAAGCCGATTTGCCGACTTGGCGTTGGTGTGAGTTGGACGTTGGAACACATAGAAATAGGAAGGTCACGCGGATCTTGCATAGAGAGAGGCGTGATGATGATGTACGGGTGAGAAGACCCCGAAGCATACGAAGTATACGGGGATGCAATACCCGCAAAAGACCCTAGTATGGGCGATCGGCCTCTGACGTATTCGTACGTTGTGAATATGGCTGTCGTTCGCGATGCGGCAAGCAGCGGATGGGAATGGGGACCGCGGCCTTTTCCCGCGTGGCCGGGTGCCAGGTTACCTAGGTTCAGGATGGCCCTCGGATGCAAACATGTCAAGGTAAGGTAGCATGCAGCTGCTATGCCCCGCCATGCTGCCGTCCCATTCCCGAGCAGCCGTATCGTGATATGACCGTTCCGAGGCGGTAGAAGGGCCCAGGAGTATTGGTGAGTAGTGTGCTTCAACTGCTGGTCTGGCTCACAGGCGAGATGCTTCAAAGGAGCCCCATGCCCAAGTTGACTGTGTTTATGCCCCACGATGACCTCTGGAACTCCATCCCGTCCCCATCCTCGGGCTTTGATGGGCTCCATGGTAGTCTTCTGCTGATTGGCCCCTATATCCGACCAAAACACAAGCATTTTGATTCGCAAGGGTTTACAATATAAGTTGAGAAACCCATCATTAACAGCGGGCTAGGAATGGATCGTATCACCCGCTTTCTGGGTTGTTGGACTCGCCAACAGTTTGTGAAGCGAAGCGAAAGAGCGAGAAGTAGCCGCTATGAGATGGATGCCCCCCTCGCGGGTTGAAGTGCCCCGCACCATCTTGATTGGACGGGGAAGTTCTGATGTGGTTTTTCTGCCCACCACTCCGGCTGGTTCCGTATTGATGCAGGTTGCTGGAGCTCCTGCTGCTGCGAGTCTGGGCTTGAAACATCCCATTCAGTTAGAACTGAGAGGGTCTTTTCCTTCGTACCCAAAATGATTTGGCGAAAGCCAGCGAGCCTGGTAGAGGAGATGGCCAGAGCAATTTGTTCTGAAAGGTACTTGTCGCCCTTAAGCACCACCCCTCAACGGCACGTCTCGGTGAAATTGGAAGTCCATTGAGCCGTACGGGGCTTCGCTAGACTGGCCAACTTCTCGAGAAGAGGGGATTGAGTAGAACCGAAAAGTGCATAGTGTCGAATGGAAAACCTCGGGTCCAGGTGTAGAAGAGGTTGTGATTTTGTGCCGAAAAAAGTAGAGACAGGAATTTTCCAACAGCTCGACGCCCCGAGTTTTTGGCATTGTGCTGTTGTGCTGCTCTCAGCCTTGTCCTTGGCACATCGAGAGGAAAACGTGGTTCATATGCGAGCCGTCATTGGCCGGCGATCTGAAGACTTGGCTTTGGGGGGAAAGCGAATCAAGCGCATGTGTGGGTGGGAGGGGAACTCCACGGGTGTTCCTTGAGGCCATGTACATGTTTGTTTGGTACATGTTGTCGACGTACTGCTGGTGACGACTACGGCTATTGAAAAGTAGGTAGCAAAACGGACACGGCCGTCGAGAATTTCAGGCCCCTCCTGGATCCACGCAGAAGCCGTGAGAAATGGCACACGTGCTCGGTTTCTGTGATATTATACACTGCCAGACGCAATGTGTTGTTGAACTGCCACAAAGCGGGTACATTTGACGGTCCAGGTCGTCCGACTATTTTCTCGTTTCCGAGATGGCGCGAGAACTTGCCCGAGTAGGTAGGTACAAGCAGAGGATGCTCGCTTTGATCTTGACCAGGGCAGACAAGGTCGGAAGAGGGCAGAGGCACAGGGTACGATGATATGGTACTAAGTACTAGAGGTATGTGATAGGTTGTAGGCGAAATGTTCCTTGGGAACTCATCGTAGGTTGACGTTGGGAGACTTTCCGAGTACGGCGAAACGGCAGGGCACTGGCCACAAAACAGTCAAAGAGCCACACTTGATGCCTTCCATTTCTTGTCCAGTTGAATCTGACTAGATGATTCTCGCAGCTCTTGCAGTTCTCGCAGGTGTAACGTCGTCTTCGGTGCGCATTTACTACGTACTCCAGGTACCTTAGTACCTAGGCAGGCAAGGGTGGCAGGAGTGACAAGAGAAAAGGTACCCCGCACCTCACAGCTAGACAGGGGAGGGGCTGATCGATGCTCTTGCTCTCTTGCACGCAGCACACGCAGCACGGGCAAGAATAACCAGACCCAACTTCCCAATGGAAGCACGTACCCAGGGCCGGCAGGTGGACCCATACTCTGGCCCGTTGCCGGTGCTTCTCGGGCCTTCTATTGGTCAGACCGATACCATGGTTGGCCAAGACCCCGGCCGGCACCCATTTACATTTCACGACTTTGACTGCCAACTGCCTCTGCCACTACGGCCTGCCCTGCTAGCCCATCGTCTTGAGAGAAAGAGAGAGAGAAGTGAGGAAAGGTAGATACACACAGTACCTCCTGATCTGGACCCCTTGGAACTTGGGTTTCTAGAGTCGCATCTCACTTCTCATCCACCACTCCCCAAATCCGAAGTCTAGATCTGGGCTGCTGTCATTCTTACCGCCGCCGCCGCCCTGCAAACCTCGACATACCGATGAGGTAGAGTTGCAGGACCATACAACTCACTCATCTGACCTATCCTCGGTTTGCCTAATTCGACCTCACTCTCACACGACACCAACACAGTCGCATAAACCACGGCCGCAGCTTACTACAACTTCAGACATCACTATCCTCACCCAAAAGAGCATAGGTTGAAGCAATCACCGCTTAAATCTGCTATCTTGACCGGTAAGCATGAACGTTTCTCAGCAATCAATCTTGTATTCTGCTCCGATTCGGCGCAAGTCTGTTTACTGTTGCCTTTGCCTTTGCCTTCGTCTTGATTACACTCCTACACATATCACCTCTCCTTCTACCCCTCGACCCATGCTTTACTGCTTCTTTTGCATAATCCCTATCACCAAGGTCGACGACGCATTCGTTTCCTGTTATTCCCCAGTCAGAGTAGGAAACGGAGCCAACACCCTGGACAAGACGATGTTCTGGTCCCCGGCCGCGCCTGGTTTTCCTAACCTCACCCCCCGTACAACCCGTAACTAGACCTGATGCTGGGCCAGCTCAGACCTTGCTTTCCTCATCGGAGACAAAAAACGGGTGTGCCAACCGACACTGGCGCTGACATGGTATATTGCCATCCACTGGTTGCTAGTACCTGCAGCCATTCATCGTTCTCCCTGCCCCCACGCAGTGTCTGGCATCAATAACTATTACCTACTTGTGGCACCTGTTCAAAGCAAACGCCTGACCATGCCCATGTTTCTAGAGCCGCGTGCGTTGTGCCCCTCTTTCTTCACGGCCTGGTTGTCACTGAGGCATGCCCGGGATAGCTTCAGAATACCCCCACCTACTACCCATCCTGCTCGTTATGACCTAGTGCCTCTACGGGTACTGCTCATGGGTTTCTGCTCCTCCTTCTGCGTGCTCAATTTTTTCAGTCAAAGCTACTTGGTGGCTCTACTGGCCAAGCCAAGCGGTCGTCTTATTGCACGAGGGATATCTCCCGCTCATCGTCCCCTTTAGTCTAGACCTTCAAATTCTAACACGACCAACAGGTTCGAATCCTTACCTCAACTTGGATATTCGCCTGTCTTTGTCCGCTACTCAGTCTACCTCACGCGGCAGGATCCTATCTCTCTGATCGGCAAAAAAAGGCCTTGGTTTCCCCCAACTCGTCATCCCATCAGCTTGCGCCACTGAAGAGCACCCCACGTGCGGTTCTCTACATTAACACGCAGCTCTTCTACACAACTCTGCTACGAGGCGACGTCACTCGGCATACCCTTGTGCGAGTGGCTGCTTTGCTTGCCTGCCGCCGACGCATAATCACATCCGCAGAGCCTCCTGCTGTCATCAGCTATCTCCCTGCAGACATCCACTGTCAGCTTGCCAATACTGGAGGGCACATAGGCTGCTGTCTCTTACAACGGTCACTTTTGGACACCGTGATTCCACGGGCGTCTGTTCATCATGTCAGTCTCTTGGCCCTAGCTAACCCCTACTTTATTCTCACTGGCGAACTTGTGCTGATATACCAACAGGAAGTTCGGCAAGCAGATTCAGAAGCGTCAGCTTGAAGTTCCAGAGTATGCCGCTAGTTTTGTAAACTACAAGGCTCTCAAAAAGGTACGTTTCGTTGTCCGGCAGTTCCCTCTTCAGTCTCTATCCCCCTTTTGTTACCCCGTTCTCTCGCTTCTCTTCCGCATTGGGAGGAAGCTTGGTATGCAAACCACAAAAAGGAAAAAACCACCCTCTAGAATTTAGTCAACTCGGTACCCGTCAGGGGCAGATGAATGGAGCAAGCCCCCATGGCAATAGCTAATCACATCCGGAATTACCACTGACATTCGCTACTAGCTGATCAAGAAATTGTCGGCTACGCCCACGCTGAGCGCACAACATGACCCTCTCCGCTCCGCAATATCTATAGACTCCCAGGCTGCCCTTCAGGCCAACAAGGCCACATTTTTCTTCCAATTGGTATGTATCCAGTCATGGGTCAGTGCGATGAACTTCCCAACGTACTTACTGACTCTCGAACAGGAACGAGAGCTCGAAAAGGTCAACGCCTTTTACCTACAAAAGGAGGCAGAGGTATGCAATAATCTCTCTTGTCTAATGTAATGACTCTGCCCTGTCAGAACTGACCCCCACCTAGCTCAAGGTGCGACTGAAGACTCTTCTCGACAAGAAGAAGGTGTTGCAGTCTCGCAATGGTGTTTCTAGACGTTCGGCCAAGTTCACAACTCTCGAAGAGGGCTTCCAACAGTTTGCCAGCGACCTGAACAAGCTGCAACAATTTGTTGAGATCAACGGAACTGCTTTCTCCAAGATCCTCAAAAAGTGGGACAAGACGTCAAAGTCGAAAACCAAAGAGCTCTACCTATCCAGAGCAGTCGAGGTCCAACCCTTCTTCAATGCCACCGTCATTAGCGAACTATCCGATCAGGCCACTACTAGTCTCCAAGAGCTGGGGGCTTGGGCCGAGGGTGACAATGTCAGCTTCGAGCCTCGTAGTGATCATATCGTGAGCAGCCAGCATCTGCTCGGAACCGACGAAGGTGATGCGGATACACTACTCCTCGATACGGTCATCTCAGGGAACCTCGAGGCGTTGAGGGATCTGCTGATTCGAATGCGGACGGCTGCTAGCTCGTCCTCGGGCTCCGACATCTCTTTGATGGAGAGAGTGACTAGAACGTTCCTCGCTGCCATCCACGAAGCGCCTAAAGAGACTCTACAGGCTCTCCTCGATACGGGCTTGGTCGACATACAGTCAGAGGACGACATTAACGAACGAAATTGCCTGCACCAAGCCGCCATCTACGGGAACTCATTTGTCCTTGAATACGGCTTGGCAAAAGGTGTTGCTGTCAGCCGTACCGATGTGTATGGCAGGGTTCCGCTGCACTATGCCAGTATGCATGGACGATTGGACATGCTCGATGCCCTGACTAGCGGTAAGATCTGTATAAGTACAGGCAATGTTATTGCATGGTTGCTGACATAGCCTCACAGCGGATACTTCAACGATAGATTTGATCGACCATGACAACTTTACCCCTCTGGTACACTCAATCATCCACGGCCACCTTCAGTGCGTCGAACGATTGCTAGCAAAGTCCGCTCGAATCGACCCTGTCTCTGACGCAGACCATGTACCGTTGAACCTGGCCTGCGAGCATGGTTCGTTGGCAATTGTGGAAATGCTCCTCCAGCATGGAGCACAGATCGTTCCCGACGCTGAAGGACTCTATCCCCAACACCTTGTCGCTCGGTCAGGCCAAAGACCAGAGCTCCTCCTTTTGCTCAAGAACTTTGGAGCAAATCTCGATCAGGTTGATAAGTTGTACGGATGGACGCCCCTGGTTCATGCCGCGAGCGAAGGCAACGTTCCCTGCCTCCAAGGGTTACTGGACGTCGGAGCAGACCCCAATATCGTCGACGAGAAGGACCTGCCAGCAATGTATTACGCTGTCTGGGAAGGCCACCTCGAATGTATGCAATTGCTTGCACCGTACAACGCAAGGACGAAGGCGAGCCCCATGATCATGCAGCCCGGGTTGGGACCAATGATGAGCAGCGGACCCGACCCGATGGCCCTTGACCCGGATGCCATCCCCGAACTTGAGCTGCCGCCGCCGATCATACCGTTGCGCCGGTACGGACACAACTTCCTGGACACCAAGACGGTCATTCAGATCAGCTTCGAGGAAAATGGGGACCAACCCTTAGTGTTCTTCCACGACGGGAAGTACCCTGCCGCCCGACTCACCATTTCATCAAAGGTTTCGGATCTCATCCCGAAGAATATTATGCTGCCTTTCCAAGAAGATACCCGTATTGTTTCCTTTCAAATCGACAACCTGGAGTCATTTACACTCGATTTCGACGTTTTCCCTACCTACGGCGCGAAGATCATTGCGAAGACGGTGGCCCTTCCCAATACCTTCAAAGCGCTGCTTAGTAGCTCTGGGAAGTGCTGTCTGCCCCTGTTCGATCCAAGGCTACGAGCAATTGGCCAGATCAGCTTCCACACTCAGGTCATCAAGCCGTTCAACGGTAAGCCACTGGAGATTACGGATTTCGAAACGTACTGGAAGGCAACAAGCCAATTCGACCGCAGTCCAAGCACATTTGTGACTGGTTCGAGTTTGTCAGGCGACTTTGTCCAACTCTTCGTTCAGCACACCAGCGATGGTGTACCTGTCTTGTGGCCGAGATGGACGATACCATGTGGTGGAATTGACTTGCCCATCTCAAGATTGACAATGGAGCAGTTCAATACGATCACGTCAAAGAGCCCTAGCAGAGCCGAACTGGCATCATTACCAACAAGGCCTCTGGACGCAATTGCGGACGTCCATCGGGTTCTTGCGACAGCGGGTATCCCTCTCAATGAGGCGCTGGCTCTGCTCCCGCATGGCATGCATGTCAACATTCAGATTTTGTATCCGTCACTGGACGAGGAAAGGTCACTGGGTCTGGGCCCGTCGTTGGACCTGAACACATTCGTCGACTCTCTGCTCACTATTGTGTTTGATCACGCCCGCGCTCAGCGAGCTCAGTCACTCGAGTCAGTCCGTTCTGTGGTGTTCAGTTCATATAACCCGAGCATGTGCACAGCACTCAACTGGAAGCAGCCAAACTTCCCCGTGTTCTTGTGCAACGATCTGGGACGGGAGGATGTCATGGCGCCGCCAGATATCATCCAGAGCCACGGCAGAAGATCTGCGTCAATCAAGGAGGTGGTCCGGGTTGCGCAAGGCAACAACTTTATGGGCTTAATTTGCTGCTCACGGCTTTTGGTAGGTTTAGGCCCTTTTGTTGATGGCTGTGGTGTTCTTACTGACTGTACAACAGGAGATGGTCCCGGCCCTGGTGGACGCCATCAAGTCACACGGTCTTGCGCTGGTCACAGACAAGTCACTGGATCCGTCGTCGACAAATTCTCTGACAGATCCGTTCCCGCGACTACCCAAGGGAGTGGACGGTGTCCTGAAAAGTCACGGTGTCTTGCGCTTCAACGAATCCATAGATGTGTAGTAGATTGATGTAATTACGTGTCAGCAAAAGTAAATAGACTTGTGTGTGCACCTTTTTTCAATCTCGATTCTTGACAGCCTGACCTCTGGACATTCCTTTTTCGCGCTCGCTGCATCATAGTTATATCGTCATTCCGGCATAAGTCGTAAGGTTAACTCCATCTGGTCCCGTGGTATTCGTAGTAAAACAAAAGAATAATACAGATCCCCCGCCGCCACGTAGCTAATCTTCCCTCGAGTCATAAGCGTCACGCGCCTTTGAAACCATACTTGAGCGCAGCCAACTCCTTTTCCGGATCGACGCTGCCCATGACCACCTTTGCGATCAGAACAACGACGTACACTATAGCAGGCAAGTTCCCCAGCCCCACGTGGCCAAACGAAGCCTTCTCGCTCGACTTCGTCGCCAACCCCGCCAGGATGAGCATACCGCAGAGTCCGAGGTTAAGGTACGGCAGATACAGCTCCAGTGGGCCTTTTTGCTCCTCTGCAAAGGAGAAGGAGCTCCGCCTGCGTCTCCTCTGCGTCGTCTGGATGGGTTGGTAGGACGACGGGCCGCCGGAGACGGACGAGGTCGAGGACTCGAGCGAGGAGGCCGGGCTGGGGCGCGGGGTTTTTGGTCGGGACCAGGCGTCGAGCCAGGGGATTCCGGTCGCGCCTGGGGGTTGGGTGTGGAGGAGGTAGGCGGTCGAGAGGAGGGATGTCAGAGAGAGGAGGGAGGTGAGCGGGGCGGAGAGGCGGGCTAGGTTTATGAGGTAGGGGATCGTTGTTAGGAGGGGGAGGGCGAGGAGGGCGGTTGCGAACTGGGCGTTGCGGGTTGCGTTGTCTTCTGCGAGGCGGCGGATGAGGGTTTCTTGCTCTAGGTTGGGGGGTTGAGTGTTAGCTTTTGATGTAAGACCGAATGGAAAGATGAAGAGTGAGGGGAATGGGATGGATTGGGGATGAGTCTTTTGTGTCTTTCGCATCGTACCCTCTTCGTCCATGGCTTCTGGCTGTGAGTCTGCCGAGTCGTCGTCTGTGGGATAGTGGAATGTGCGCCGCAGACGAGCGGCCGCGCCTCGAGGTTCTGCCATTTTGGTATGGATGTTGTCAAATGCGCGATGAGCTGTAACGGATTGCTGGTGTTTTGTAATGATGTCGTAGCTGGTAAAGGCGCAAACACCTGGTCTAAGTGTTAAAGCTCAGCCGATGAAGACAGATTTGTAGAAGCCTAGGTAGGTAGCTACGTAAGGTACGGATGCAAAAGGTGTAGATGGAGCTTACTTCTCGCAGAGGGGGCCGTGACCGACCACTCAGCCTTATGACGCGCGACAGCTGGACAATGTGTGACAGGGGTCTTGGGTCTAGGGTATGATTGGTTGACGTTTATCGATTGCTTGTTTCCTTTCCTTTCCAGATGCCCGCGCCAGGACCCCGGGAATTTTCAGAGAGAGCTTTGGCCCGCCCACCGAAAGTCGAGACCGACCGACCGAACTGACCGAACTTGCATGGTCTGATTCGGAGCATCCCGAGAATTTGACCTGGACGCAACGCCCGGCATCACGAAATCCGAAGTGACCACACATACCGACGCGGTAGCTCCAATTTCACTCGAAGGACGATTTCGATACCACGGGGAGTTTTCTACTTTCCAGCATGTTCTCAGGCACAGCCACCAGGAGGTTCGCCTCCTCGCTGCGCAGCGCCGCCGCGAGGCAACGACAGCAGCCGCAGCAGCTCAGAGCGCAGGCTCAAAGGAGATGGGCGACCGCAGCGCCGAAGCCCGGATCCGGACCGCTGATGGAGCGGCGCGCAGACCGAGAACTCCCAGGTAAGCTGCTCGTCTTTCATCCCCCCTTTCCCTCTTCTCTCTTCCCATTGTCATCCATCCACTAACCTTCACAATCTTTCAACAGACCTCAACCAGATCACCTTCCGCTGGTCCCGCACCCTCCCCCTCTTCGCCGCCGCCATCGCCCTCAGCAGCATCGCAATCTTCAACTACCAAAAGTCCTCCTCCCCCGTCATCGCCTCGACCCTCTACGCGCTGCGCACCTCCCCGAAAGCCCGCGAGTACCTCGGCGACGAGGTGCAGTTCAAGCACCAGATCCCCTGGATCGCCGGCGAGATGAACCAGCTCCACGGGCGCATCGACATCAGCTTCAGCGTCAAGGGCTCCCGCAACGAGGCCGTCATGAAGTTTGCCAGCTTCCGGACGTCGCACAAGGGCCTGTTCGAGACGACCGAGTGGAGCCTGGAGACGCCCGACGGCCGCAAGATTGATCTGCTCGACGGGGCGGACCCGTTCAAGGGGTCTATTCCGGGTGATGATTTGAGCGATGATGATCTCGAGGCCGTGGTGTCGGCGGCGGAGACGAGGGGTTTCAGGCAGAATATCAAATGAGGAGGGACAAAGGGGGCCGTTGAATATACGGCAGCACTACGGTCACCTGAAGGTCTCTTAAAGCGAATTGTCATCAAAAAGCATGCATGGGGCCAAGGTAGTTCAAGTCATTTGGTTGATATTCGGGTCGGGCGAGATAATGACCCTAAAGCTATGCGCCTCTCTTAAGGGGGTGATAAATGTACAACATGTATAGTACACAGACTTTCGTAAACAACAGTGGGGGAAAAGGGGGAGGGTGGGACGATATCTATACAAGTGCCGGGAGCTCTTTCCTCTCCTTCTTCAGCACCAAGTGCCTCTCTCTGGCCTCCTGCAATCTCGCCTCGCCGTCCACGTTGGCCTCCAACAGCTCCTTCAACTTATCCTGCCTGTAAGGAAGCGCCGGCGCCTTCCTCTTGACGGCGTCCTGCAGCTTGACGATGCAGTTCTTGGGGCCCGCGACGGCGCCCTTGACGAGCACGACGCCCAGCTCGTTGTCCACCTTGAGCACCGTCAGGTTCTGCACCGTGACGCGCTCGTTGCCCATGCGACCGGGCATCTTCTTGCCGGGCATGACTCTGGAACCGGAACCCTGCGAGGGGCCGGTAGTACCGATGGTGCGGTGGTTGAGCGAGTTACCGTGGGACGCCTCCTGACCCGCGAAGCCGTGGCGCTTCATACCACCGGCGAAGCCCATGCCGCGGCTGTTGGAGCGGACGTCGACGTACTGGCCCGTCTGGAACCAGTCCGGGAACAGCTGGGCGCCGACGGGCAGCAGCCCTTCCTTGGTGCGGACCTTGAACTCGGCCAGGTGGCGCTTGGGCGCGATGCCCTTGGCCTCGTAGTAGCCCAGCATCGGCCTCTCGACGTTGCGCGGCTCCTTGGAGCCGGAGCCGATCTGGACGGCCCAGTAGCCGTTGTCCGGGCGGGTCTTGTTGGCGACGACCTGGACCTGGTCGAGCTGCAGGACGGTGCAGGGGACGCGCTTCTTGCCGTAGTAGATGGCCGTCATGCCCTTCTTGACGGCGAGGACGCCGGTGCGGAGGGGCGTCGTCTTCTCGCGGCGGGCGAGGGCGGCGGCGGGACCGGTGGTGAGGACGGGGAGGCCGGCGGTGGGCTGGTTGAAACGGGTGGGCTTGCTGCGTTTGGGCGCCGTGGACCAGCCGTACTTTACGCCACGCTTCGCGGTGAAAGGGAGGAGCTGGAGGCGTGGGGCGATGACGGCCGAGGCATTGGCGGCGGCGGAACAGGTGTTTGATATCGTCGTCGTCGTCGATCGGAGGAGCTGAAGGCAGCTCGGAGGTAGTCGGGGCGCCATGGTGGATGGCCGGGGGGGTGGGATTGACGGCGGATTGAGGTGGTCTGGTATGAGGTCGGCGATGGAATTTTTTGGAGTTGAGGTCGGATCTGAGTGCCTGGGGTGGAAATCTTGAAGTGGTCCGTGCACCTCCTTGAATTGAAATGGTGAGCTTCCCGGGAGCTCATGCCAGGGTCCTTTCTTACTTTTTCAAAGAATAACTCTGCGATCAATCAGGATGCTCCAGTAAACATTCTTTTTTTCCTTTTTTCCTATTTGATTGAAAAACTCTTGAGGGCAAAGAGCCACTTTACTCGAGCGAAAGTCTTCCTCTACACCAAGAACACTAAAGTTGGCCAAGATGGATAAAACACCCATCATCCATGCTTACAGACATCTCTACCGTGAGCTCCTACGAGCGGTTCAATTCGCACCGCCGCACAGGTACACCGTCCGCAACCAGCTGAGAGCATCGTTTCGCGATAAAGACGCGGTATGGGATCCGGAGGTTTCCAAGAGAACACTGTGGTTCATACAGGCGGCTCGCAAAGAGGCCGGTATCGAGCACAAGGTTCTCAAGAACCTCGTCCGCGTGGCTTGGGAGAGGCAGAATATGGATACGTGGAAGGTCAGCTTTCGCAAGGAATCGGAATCCCGGGGCAAGGATGTGTGAGTTCTTTTCTTTCTCAGATCATCGTGAGAGAGAGATACGGTTGCTGACGTTGAATCACTTAGCATCCAAGAGGCCAACAACATGAAGGCTACAGTGTACAATCACTATGATATGACGATAAACATGCTGAATAAGTCGATGGGTATTCGACTGAGATGATGGTCTCGAGCAAGTCACGGTAGTCTTGATCGAATTGCCACTCGCAGGCCTGCACTGGCTGTCATCAAAGAGTGCAGCTTGACCCATTCCTGAGGATCTCAAACGGTTCCACCTTACTGGAAGTGCAGGCATTGATGGAGACATCTCCAGCCCAGGTTTGAGTAACTGACCCATTTCAGCACGCCCAGGCGGGATCATCAGCCCAGATACCACGCTTCAAGGCTTGTTGTGGTGCCAGGGTGGAAAGACGGCAGGCAGGGGACGGAGCGGAACACGATAGGCCCGAGACATCGCGATGCACCTCAGTACCTACACAGTATCCTCATATCGATAATAAGCCATTGGAGGAAACTGGCGTTGGGGAGAGAAACGACCGCTGGTGCGACCTTTGCCAGGCGGGCGATCTGCAGATGCGCGGGGTCAGCAAGTGAAACGGCTCACCTGTGGTTGGCTAGCACGTTTGGCTACGTGAGGGTTGGAGCAGCCGTCCAAGCTGTTGATGGTTGCATGGTCGTTAATTTGCTCGCGAAGCGCTGCTCGCGCCCGCTTGTATGTTGATTCTTGCTGTTTATGAGCTCATCATTCCTCGCCTCTTGCGGAACGCTGCTTCAGTGTCCCCGAATAAGGCCAGAGATCTTGAGACAGTATCACTCAACAGAGGTAAACCGTCGAAAGGTTAATGGGGGCATATGATAGGAAACTAAATGGCTGCACCTCGGAGGCAATAACGTTTTTTCGTACATGGCGGGCGTTCTGCCCCAAATGTTGAGAAGCAAGCGAGAAGCGAGGTGCCCGACCTTCACGGACTGAGCTGAGGGCTGAGAGGGGAGAGTTGAGGCGAACCCCCGTGTACACCCCCCGTGTCGGAGCCAAGAGTCTCGGCCGCCAGGGCGGTGGTGGTCGGCCCTTTGCCGGTACGGGGAGATATATAAAAAGAGTGGTCCCCTTGAGAATCTGTTTTTGAATACCAAAAATACCCAATTCGGAAACAATATGGCTCGCCCCGTGAAACCGACCCGCTGTTGTCGTAAGGTGGTCGACCGAGTTGTCCGCCGGGACAAGTACGATATCCCCAAAGCTCGGGTGAGAAAACACTCTGTGACACTAGGTAGAGATAGCCCACCAGGGAGAGAACTGGGAGAGGCGTACTGGCAGTCTGGCTTGTGACGGTGGATTCTTGAGATGGCAAGACTGGCCAATCTGGGCTGATTAGTGTTAGCGGCCGCTACCGGGAGGAACAAATGAGAAGCGCAGGATCGTTGGAGATCCAACGGGGCCCTGGTCTCGTTTCAGTGGACCCAGACACTAAGGTAAAGGTATCTGCTGTGCTGCGTGCTGCTACGAAGTGAGGTGCGTCCTGGAGATACCAATCAGCAATGGTACGACTGGTCGCTCAGCGGGGCCGAAGGGGGGCCTCCCAGGTGCGGAAAGGATGCAGCTTTCCGCACCACGAACTGCCCTGGTCCTGCAGCTTTGGAATGGTCGTCGTTTTGAAGGTACCTCCTGATACAACCATCACAGAGTCGGAACCTCACCCGGTCACTTGAAGTTGAGGGAAGAAGGGGAGGATGAGAGGGGGGCCAGGTGCTGAACTGAGCTTGCCATGAGGTCAGGGAAAGGCAAGGTTAGGTGCTGTACCGGTATTAGTTGTGGCTGTAATCGTATCTTCAACTAAGTACTTAGCTGAGGTGCCCCTACGAATGCAAGAGTCTGTGATGCGGATGTATCTTTCTACGCCGTAGATTCCCACTGCCGACCCCGCAATCCGAGTTACCTCTGAAGTATCCGTAGTTCACACCTACCTTACTCTTCGACGCTTCTTCCCTTCTTCTCTCTTTCATCTTAACCCGCAAGTCTCTCATGGTTAGCGGACACAACAGCGTCAATTCCCGGGGGGTTCAGCTCTCGATTCCCCAGATTGCCTTAAGACAGCTCTTCTCACATCTCTGACCGCTCGACTCGTCATCAACATCATCGTCTCTGTTTCCCTTGTGCTTCTCGCCGTCTATCCTCTAAACTTCGCGACCCAGTCACCTCACCCTGTTTGTCGCCCGTCCACACCACCACAACTCCACCTGCTGCGCGGTCTGGATGGACCAAAACCCCAACTGGCAAAGGGCCGTATCACGACCGCGCTGAAGACCTTGATCTCCCCTCACGAGATCACCGTCTGAAGGCGCTGCCATCTCGTCACTGCTAGAAGCATGCCAGCGACAGAAGCCGAATATCACCAAATACACCATGTTCCGGCCCGCCAACCGACTGCGATCATGCCTCGAGCTCAGGAAGAGCGCCCGCAGAGGCTGGTCAAGCGCTACCGCACCGAGATCGCCGCCAGCACGTCGAGCATGTTCTCGACTGTCCTCGCCTTTCCCCTCGATAGCGTGAAAACACGAATGCAGACCTACCGATACGAAGGCTTCCTTGATTGCGTGAAGCATACATACCGCACCGAGAAGTTGAGAGGCTTCTTTCGGGGTAAGGAGTCCTCCTTTCCCTCTGTCCCTTTCCCTCCACCTCCCTTGTGCACGCGACCCCTCATCTCGCCTCAAGTCATGATCCCGTTGACTAACCTTCTTTTGCCCCTCACTAGGCGTCCTTGCCCCAATGGCCAGCATCACACTCGTCCGAACCATGTCCTTTTCGATTTACCAACGCGCCAAACACAATTACTCGGGCTGGGTTAAGAACGCCCTGGGATTCGACGTGCTGCAGCATGTGAATCAAAAAGGCACATATCCAAATCTGTACTCCATTGCCTGTTTTGGAGCCGCCGGCGCCACTGCCGGCTCATGCATCACGCTTCTCGCCTGCCCCTTTGAGCTCACCAAGCTCAGCGCGCAGGTGGCTGTCTTGTTGTCAGACCAACAAAAGCTCAAGGAAGCAAATTGCCGCGCCACCAATGGACACCAGGTTGCAGCAAGCTACCAAAATAAGGGCACTTTCAAAACCATGCGCAACATTGTTCGTCATAGGGGTGCTCTGGGGCTTTACACTGGCTTCAACTTGCACTTGTGTAAGTCTGTCCAGGCGTACAACCCCAATAAAACCCTCAGCTGACCATTCCAGTGCGAGATACTTTGGGTACGGCCATTTACTTCATGGTCTACGAGAGCGGAAAGCAGCTCGGAACTACGTTTGGTGGTGACCACCCAACGACTAACAAGTTTGCGGTCGTCATCTCTGGAGGCATGTGCGGGATAGTATCCTGGGCAATGATATGTATGTGCTTCTGGTGCAAAAGAACCGCGGGCAAGTGACGCTAATGCTCTGGCAGACCCCATTGACTCGGCAAAGAGTATCTACCAGCGAAACTCTCTCTTGTACTCGAAAGGGCAACAGGTTGAGCCGCCGCCGAAGATTGAATTCTTCAAACGAAATATGTATCGCGGACTAGGGGTTTCGATGGGTCGCTCATGCGTCGTCAACGCCATCTTTTTCTCCGCTTTCGAATTCACGAAGAAGCATCTCAACTCCCTGGATGACAACTAAGGAATGATGATTTGTATGAACTATCTGCTAGCTATGCCAATCGCAGTTGAACAAGCGCATACATAATGGTCGATGGCGTTTTGGCTCGGTGGTCAATGTAAACCACCGAGTATACTTGGGACAATGGAATGGAAGCAAGGACAGAAACCAAGTTGTAGTTTGGATTCGACTGCAATCAAATTATAAGTTATTGAAAGAGAATTGCGATGCTTCGTTTGGTGACCTCAGGCCATTCAATGTGTGGGATGCGATGGCTGTTCATGCCTTGAACATCGGCGCGCCTTATAAGCAAGTGAGGGTTCAGACGCATCCTCTTGTAAAGTTTCGATTGAAACAATCTCGGTTTGCCCTTTTGGACCTCCCTTGCTCAGCCTCTTGACGATTCCTTCGTACCTACTTTCCGGGCGCTTAATCTCGGTATATGGTTTTAGACAAGGTAGGCAATTAAGCATGCCTAAGTTCACGCACCTGGCTGAAGATCGGTGGGCCCGTGCATCAACACCCCGCCACTATCGTCACGTGCCGATAGTACCTCGCAGGAATGCGAGTTGCGACCCGACCTCTTTTGGGCCTTCCTGCGTCTGTGTCTGCGTCTTCAACGGGCACTACTCTGCTTCAACCAGCCCAGACGTTTCCGTCGTGACTTGTGACCTTTTGCTTCCACGCATTTAGCATCCAAGCACCACCGTCCGCGCGCGCCCTTTATCCGAGTGCAACGAGCTCCTGCCGCAACTCTTTTTGACGAGTCGCATATTTCCAAGTCTCCGCCGACTGGAAATTGGAACTTTCCTTCTTGTCTACCGCTCTGCGTGATCACTGCTTTTACCGTTTCCTTCGCGCGCAGCAAGTACCCATCTACTTGCTGACGTCGACGCCTTCGGGAAGAAGGTGCAACTTTGCAGACGCGCCTTCCTGGCCTGACGTACTTGACTTGGAACACCACCCCGTCTCCGTGTTGGCTCTGGTGCGAGACAAAAGATTGTCATCCTTCTCACTAACTGTCGTTTTTGCATCATCTTTTTTCTTTCCCGAGGGGCAGCTTTAGACGGCACTTGGTTTCCGAACCACTATGGTAAGCTGATAACAAAGGAGGATCATCAGACATGGGGAGAGAGAAGAAACCACACCCCGGCCCGGGTACCACGGCCAAGGACCGCCACCGCAAGGCTGGCAAGATCAATAAAGCCATTGACCGAAGTCAGCCTTTACCGCCAGGACTCGTCGCCGCGAAGCCGGTCACTGTGGTCAACAACAGCAAACACCAGTCATATTTCGAGTTCATTGAGAACAAAGACAAGAAGAAGCCTCTGCTCTTCCAGGTATGCCGCGCCGATGCGGTTCCTTCGACACTTGTCGACCACCGGACTAACCAACGCTACACCAGATTACAACGAACAAAACTCCGCCTCCTGGGATGAGGCATATCCCCCTTGGCAACCCTGAACTGACCGAACGATGCAAGGACATCTCGAGAGAGACGGGGGCCTCGGTCTACATTGTGGTAAGATGATGCCGAAAACTAACAGCCGTTAGAAACGATGGTTGACCAGTTGTGATCTAGACCATGGCCAAGAACAACGCCTCGGACTTGAGCCAACAAATACACCGTGTCGGACACCATATACGCGAATATATCGTGGATAGAGCGCTAGAGGAATTAGGACTGGACAGTGTCAACGAGCCGGAACTCATAGGTCAAGGCGACGCTCAGGTTGAGAAGATTCCCGAGAAACAGAATGACATCGACAAGCAGGCAGACGCCGCCCTACGAGAACTATTCCCCCGGATTCCGAATACGGATCGACAGCAAATCATCGATCATGCCTTCCAAAAGGTTTGTGATGCCGTGAGGTTTATGGGTGAAATGGGTAGGTGCTAACAAATTATCATAGGGAACAAAGTTCAAAGGCGATCTAGTCGTAGGGCTCCAGCAGGAACTATCTCTGTCGCGGCGAGTGCAGCTTGCCGTCCTGGCACACATTCGCCATAACCATACCAGATATGACCAGCTTCTTAGGGAGACAACATGGCACAATGCAAGGCGAGTTACGGAACAGCTCTGCCTGGACTTTCTCGTCAAGTGGCGAGGTGATGACGAGAACGGGCGCGATCAGCTTGACGAGATCCTTCGAGAAGTGGTGGTTCTCTCCGATGATTCTGACGAGGAGGACTCGGACGAGGAGCCTGACTCCGACTCGTCAGAGGTACTCATCACCAGGTCCAACAACATTGGCAGATTGTCGACACCGGCCGTAGCCCAGAACGTCGCTAACCGCGATAAACGCTTGTCGACAGCGATACCGTCGCATCCAGGATCTCCGATGCTTGTTGCCACGCCCGGGATGTCCAGGAGGGCTTACAAAAAGGCACGCAGACGGGCCAAGCACCGTGAGCGTAACTTCAGTCGTTATGAGGCTGCTGCAAACGCTGCCTGGGATAACGCCAGACAGCGGCAGCGCGGGCCTGATGATCGCATGAACCAGGCGGGCAGCTCCGTTAGTCACGGAGCGCATCAACAGGGTCCGCCTGTTGAATTCATCGAGAACAGAGCCCCCATGGAGCGTATCAATCATGCGGGTTCGCAGATGAGGCTGCCTTCTGCACCCCCCAATCACGCAGGTGTCCGCGCTCGAGAGAGCCACCAGCTGCAAGATTTCCTCCACCCGTCCATTGAGCCAAGATCCCCTGACGGCGTGAGATCACCATCACGCTATTCCCGTGGCGTGGTGGAATTCACAGACCGAAGAGGTGATGAGCTGTACCCGCGTCTGAACTCCCCTCCCTGTGGCCCACTGATACGAGAGGAGCGCTATGTCCATCAAGCCCCCATTCACCAAAGCCATCCCATTCATGCGAGACCTTTGCGTGATGGTCAGGACATTGTTCAGCCGCCTGAATTATCATACCGCAATGTGCCACAGGATTACCATCGGCCACTTGTGTATCAGCAGCCTCTGCGAGACCATGGCCCTCCCCGACCTCAGGTTTACGCTGATAGAATCATCCACCGAGAGGATAATCTGAGACGACGTCAAGGCAGTGTTCCAGGAGAGAGAGCCAATCCCATCATGATTGAGGATCACAACGTTCACCAAGGTACAGTCGTTCTTGGCACAGGCGAAAGCGTCAGGGACAGATTTGGCCCCGACGTTGAGATTCTCGCTGTCCATCGCCCCGGACGTGATCGTGGCCCAGGTTCACAGCGTCTCAATTCAATGGACGAAGGCTTCATTCGCTTGCGGGAGAACAATATTGATCAGCGGAATGGATTGGCAGAGGAGGGCTTCCTCCGGCTTAGAGAGCGCCCTGTCGTCGAACCCAGACATTCTGCATATGGCATTGATGGACGTTCTCGTCTCGATGACTACCGGGCTACACAACAGTCACAGCCATACCGACCAGCTGAACCTTCAGGGCAAGCTATCTACGTTAGGCGCGTGGAGAGACCGCCGCGAGCTGATGTATCCTATCCGGCGCACAGCTATGAACGTGTGGAAGCGGTCAGAAATGACAGCCTTGCTCAGCGCGGAGTCCCGTCGCCCGTGTACGGCGGAGCGTAAGTCAAGGACCAAGAACACTCGAAATCTACCAACTAACCCAGTTAACGCATAGGCAATACGAGCATCAGCAACATCATCCGATGCAGGGAGCGTACGGTGTTCCCGTCCATCGGCACGCCATGCCGGCCCAACAACTTGATGACCCGTTCAGGTCCGACAGATATCGGCCATCGCCACCTCGCGCACCACCGCGCCAGTGGCCGCGCGCCAGCGACGACGTGATCGTGCTTGAGTAGGTAATGGCTGTGCGGAATAGATTTCCAACACTTACCATAATCGGAATGGTTATGCAAGCATGTGCGAAAAGGAACAGGGACGACAGCATGTATATGGAGTACAGGGATTACAAGCATCCATCGACGAGGGTTTGGGTTTTGAGGATCTTCGTGGACGGACGGGCAAGGTATAGTCTTTTTTTGTTATGGGACGGAAGGGGTCGGTTGGTCATCCAGTGACAGCTTGGGGAGGATGCATGGAAGGAGTTGTTAGATATGATACCCATGGTCGATGAGCAAAAACTGCTCTCGTCTGCATCTTAGTGGCGGACTATGGATGGGACGGCCCCATTCGAATGAGAACATGTTAAAGAATCACATTGCCTTCATTACACAGAAAGCGCCGTCAATTGATTTCGCGATCAGTCGAAACTGACCTGACTATTGAGCATTACCCTCCATTACAGATGCCAAGCTCACAATAGCTCGGTCCAGAATTGCATTTGGTCACAACACTTCGCTGCCCTGCCCATACACAGGCTTGGTGAGGTGGTAGAAGTTTTGTAATGATGTTGAGGATTTCCGTCGGGCCTGCGGCAGGCAACCATCAGCCGACCACGCCATCATCGAGAATGATGTCGATACGAAGAACAGATAATGGCAACTTCCTCTTCCAGTTTCTATCAGAATCTTTAAAACACTGTCAAAGGGGGTGGGGATACTGATTGTTGCTTGGCTCTCGAACCGAATTGACTAGGTGCTCTAGTGTTTCGAACCACTCCATCGACCGCTCCTGTATATATCAACCATGGGTTAGCTCAGGAAGGCTGCGCTCAGTCAGTTCTGGCTCTAGGCCATCTATGATAGAACGAAAACAAAAAGAGTTCACCCCCCCGGTGCTGAACTGGGGGCTACATCTCTTGGTGCTCGTGCTGGGAGGAATTTCTGGGTGCTCATGCTGGGATTCGAACTCGGGTACTCGCTAAGCCTGTCGTCGAGTAGGCTGGTTGGCGTAGAATTGATTGTTGACCATGAACCGCTCCGCCACCCAGCCAGTTTGACCTGACCCGTCGACCTAGACGGGCGCCTGCTGGCTGGTGACTGGAATGGCGCTGGGGGCGTATATGTTAGATGCTCCGGGAAGGTAGGGACCTTGGGGGATGGGGGTCATGTGAATATTCGGGGTGTAATACGGGGTGCGACTAGCTATGGGATGAATGTCTGCGGGATATCTACCGAGTCTCCGTTCCTTGATTGGATAGATGTATTGTACTCTCCTGAAGTATATAATAGCTCTCCTCTCAATTCTAGAATCAATGCCAACGCCATCCTCGTCACCGTACCAGGCGAGGCGCCAACATCGTTTGCTTGGATCTGGACACCTGGAATTGCGCTCATGGAGTTGGCTCTGGCTTGTAAATATCCTGCTACATAGATACTCTCCGTGGTCAAGGTCCCCTGTTCTTGTCCCCTCGCGCTTTGCTAGTATTATCTCACCAATACGCCCTACGAGACAGACGCTGCTACCGGTTGGCGGCTGATGAAGTGAACCTTGCTTGTCGTGATTCCATTGCGGTCTCCAAGCGCTTGCAATGGTCCCCATTGCCACGTTCCCCATGCCCCTGGAGGCCCGCGCATGTGTCTCCTCGCAAGCCAGAAGAGCATGATGCGGAAGAAACGAAACAAATGGCTAACGTATGACAACTTTTATACTACAGCGAAGCCGGCATTCAGCTAGCGTATCTTAAGAATCACACAGAAGTAAGGTCGCAGCAAAGTTGATAAGTCAAAGGTCACAGAAACCTCCTTCCGGCGTTGAGCGTACGCATAGTCAATAAATACCAATCGCCGAGCAAGCCATCACCATCCTGTAAAGCCAAGATTGAAGTAGTATCGATGTGATCATCAGCTCATATGTATTGAAACCCCCTGAGAGTTGATTCTAGCAGCCAAGTAACGGCACATTCCGTAACAATGCAACGGTGTAGTTGATGAATCCAACAAAAAAAGCACATATGTCGAACCGTTCCCGCCGCCCCTAGTCTAGTGTCATGTTGCCGCGCGCGCAGAGATGGAAGTAAGTAAGGTAACTATAGATAAACGGGGAAAGCAAAAAGGACATGCTTCCAAACCTCAACTCCATGAAAATGCAACCAGAAAAGAGTTCCCCCGCATGCTTGAATCCCCCTGTATCATCAAGAACGTAAAGGTAAAGAAAGATGTTGCTCAGATCAAATGACGCCACCAAACAGACACCCCATCATGAAGCCAACATAGCCTGCCTCGTCCGGATCGGCTGCTGCGGCTCGGGCTCCTCTTCCTCTTCGCCCTGCGGGGTTGGCAATTTCGTGTCGGGCACCTTGGGGAGCTTGGGCGGGTTGCGAACGGCCTCTTCGGCGGCGACGCTGGCCTCGAGGGCGGCAAGCTCGTCTTCGACTTCTTCTTCGTCTTGGACCGATATACGGCCGCCGAGCATCTCGCTGACCTCCTATAGAGCGGGTAAAACCACATGTTAGCCAAGTTTTCAACGATATGTCGTTCCATACGTACCCTTTGGTAAGCGATAGCATCGGCCGTCTCGCCCATGAGCTTCTCCACGTGCTCGATGCCGCCCATCTCGGAGTGAATCTCCTTGAGCACCTTGGTGCCCTGCTGCAGACCGAACACGACGTCCTTTTGGATCATGGCAAACTCAACCGACGACGTGAGCTTCTCGAGCTGCTCGAGCTGGGCGTCCGTCTTTTGCAGGAGGGATTCTTGGTATTTCTTCCGGCGGAGGGCGAGCAAGGCGCGCGGCTTGTCGCCCTTTGCGAGCATCTGCTTCGCGATGGCCGTCTCTTTGTCCGTCAGGACCGTGATGCGGCGCTGGTACTGGTGGAGCTTGTCGCGTTGGAGCTTCATGTCTAAGATTGCCCTGAAGGACGGAGAGGTTCAAAGGTTAGTGAGGGTAGTTTACATTGTGGATGTGCGTGGTGAAATGGACGTGTGACGGCGCATTGCGTATTACGCAGCATCGACGTCGCATGCGCGCGCGCGCGATATTCCGGTAAGATCAAGAGCTTGGGGACGTACTTGTCTTGGGCGGTGACTTTACTTGTGTTGCCGCCCATTTTGAAGAAGAGGATGATGCGATGTGACTATGCGATTCGGGTAACAGTGTAATTTGTCTCGTCGAGTTAGGGAGGAAGTCAGAAGGGTGGCCGACTTCGTTGCGAAGAGGGTGCGTGTTGTATGGCAAAGGAGAAGGGCGAATGAAGTGCCCGCGAGGTAGGTGTTTGGTGCACGAGGTTTCGGAGGTAGTTCGGTCGGTCAGTCGGACACGCGATACCGGTGATCGGTGACGGAGGAGGAATGGAGAGTTGGTCTGGGTCTCGTGCCTGAACCGGCTCGGTTTCGAGGCGCAACGCTGCGACGGAGGGTGGACTGGGGGCACCGCTGTGAGTGCTCCGAGGGTGGGCGGATTGGAAAGGCGGGCGGGCGGGCAGTTCGTCATTGCTCTTTCCCCCATGTATCAGGTGGGGGCGATTGCGGACCCTGATAAGATAAGAACGTTTGAGGTTCCCAAAAGCACCTACCTAGGTACCTATAAGTAAGGTTCCTTACCTTAAGTTACCTACGACAAGCGCAGCTGACGTGTCTTAGGTAATTCAAGTTACCGGGCCAACACTTTTGCGACTTCATGCCTCCAATACTCTTGCCTGCCTTACCTTAGGTGAGGTATCGCCGACTACATCTTGGTTGGATGGTGGCGGCAATGGTGTACATCATGGAGTGGCGACCACATCTCATGAACCATTTCCACTTTGGCATCATCGGCTGGACTAATGCGGATCCCAAACGCAATGGCAGGCGTGATAATACTTTACACAAGATGATTTAGACAAGTACAGTTGCCATCCCGTAGTAGCAAGTGAGACCAATGGAACTCACTTGCATTCAACACGACAAACAAGTCCGGCTTGCAACGCTTATTCGCCCTGCATTCGCTCTACCCATGATGCTAGCTGCAGTACAGATGGATATGTGCCCAGCCAGCCACCAGCAGAGTCAAGCCAAGCTGACCCTTCACAGATTAGGATTCCAAAAGTCCACCACCATATCCTCCAGTAACTCGGGTCCCAAGGCCGCCACAAGCTCCGCAATGCCAGCCTTGAGACACCCGCTCACTCCGACATCCTGACGCTCCCACGCGACCAGATCGCCAGTCTCGAAAAGAAGCCCAGAGCCATCTATCCGCAGCTTGATATGGTCCATCTCCTCAAGTGAGCGGATCTCGTCAAGCGACAGGATGCCCGGCATACCAGTGTTGAACAAGAACGTGTCGTCATCGTGGTCATTCTCATCATTCTTGGCATCTTCTGTAAACTCTTCTTGGCCGGCTGCAGGCTGATCTGAAGTATCCTTGGCTCCCTCGACAGCTGGTTCGTCGGCTTTCTCCTTTGATAAGCTTAGGTATGGCTTGTTGTCCAAAAGGTCCGTAACTCTCTTGTCCATAAGATCCCAAGCTAGCGTCTCGGGATCCAGGATGTACTGGGGCGTGTAGTCCATCTTGTATCGCATCTTGGGACAGCTGTGAATATAGAAGCCGGGATACCAGTAACGATAGCTATCTTCCTGTGCCAGAGCAATCTCACGGATCGCGCCCAATTTCCCTGGTGCAAACTTGTGAATGGACTCGTGGTAGAGAAAGTATACGGCGGAAACGCAGTGAGGGAGCAGATCCAGTACACCAATGGCTACCAATTCACCATCCAAACGGTAGCACTGATGGAACGAACCGAGCTTTTGCTCTTTGCCGTCGGCCGTCGTGATTGTCTTGCGCTGGACCGGAGACTCGCACAGAAAGCGTTGAAAGCCGCGGCGAGAGATGTCGGCCGGCTCCTCCCCATGGACGACTCGCTGGTAGTTCTCATACACTTTGTACTTTTCCTCGGTGAAGACATCATCTTCCAGGGTAACGGTAAAGACATGGGCGGGCTCTGGAGGCAGCTGCAGGGAGTCATATTCCGCCTCGTGGACCCTCTCGATTAAGTCAAACTCGGAATCCCGTTTCTTTGCCTGCTCGCGTGACCGAGGGTGGAGGCGAGCTGCCTCCTTGATGTAGGCATCGCCCGTCAGGTATTTGTTGAACCGGTTGATGGTTTGTCGCTGATCTCGCGTGGGCTTGAACTGGGTGGAGTCCAAGCGGAGGGTGTAATGAACGCAGCACGCGTGGAGTTGATCCGGCCGGTAGAGGGTCGTCCCGGAGCGCCTCCAGTAGTGATCCAACAGGGTCTGATAGTATTCAGGAGTAAGGGATGTGGACTTGGCATAGTAAGAGAAGCCTGTCGAGTAGAGGCTCAAGTTAGTGACGGGTCAGATCAGGGAATCCCACAGTGGCCGACCGCGAGCCACTATTCCGCAAGCCCCTGTGCGGCTTACACGAGACGACATGGGAGAAAACAAGGGATGGCATTCACGTTTTGACTGACTCTTGCCTTGGCGGCCACAATAACCACAGCGCGATGAATTAGAATATCCTAAGCTTGTATTAGCAAACCATATGGTGAGAAGTCTTGTTCACGAGTAGCTAGATAAGTGCAATTCCCACACCGCGTAACACTGAAGATGTTTCCGAGAGATGTGAATATCATAGAATGGGAACAAGTCTCGTAGCGTTGAGCCTTCAAGGCTGAATGAGAGCAGAGAACAGGGGGTTATGGGAGCAAATGAAAAAGCCAATCGCGTGCCTGCGGGTTCAATGTACGTATGATGAGGACACGTCCCGAATTTTGGAGGCAAATGGGCTGGCAAGCGTGGGATTACGCACCCATGCCGTGCAGACAAACCCCCAACTTGATCCGACTTCGAAGGATTGAAGTCAGGTTTGTGTGACTGGGAATGGGATGCAGTGACATCGATCGGCGCAGATGCACGAGGAAAAAAGGCAACTAAGCCAGTTCCAGAGCGACCAAGGGAGCTACCCCATAAAATGCCACGAGCCAACGGCGGCTGAGGGAAGTTGCACGGGGGCAGATGGTTGGAGGAGAGAATAGGACGAAGGACTCACCGATTGGAGTTATATAGGACAAGGCATCGCCAGGGGTCTGCATGCTTGTGTCGTCCATGACTGTCTGGTCTGCTGCGACTTGCTCGCTCTACTAACGCGCCAGGGAAGCAGCCAGCTCGACTAGTGCTAGGCAAGCACGAAACGTTGGCTGATATTCGAAGTGATCGCTTCCGAGGCGGGCACGCGGGTTGACGTCTAAACGCCCGGCGAAGAGGAGGGGTACGCTATGTATCTTGTGACTGTGATGACAAGATGAGAGTCGAGGGTTGAGCCGCTGCCTCTCAATCCCCTCTTTGACGGATGGCGCTGTTCGGCTAGGGATTCGACTTGATGCAGTGAGGCCCAGTCGGGAAGTGTACTTGTTGGTGGAACTCTCACACCCCTTGCGGCATTGGAGTGGGAAAGCGTGGGGTCGCGAAGCTTGAGATGGAGTGAGGGGTTAGTCGCGAGACACGACCTAACGGCCTTTTTCTTTTTTAGTTGCAGCGCTGTGAATTGCCAGCTGGTTGGCCGTGACGTCTGTTGTCTAGCGCTTGGCGCAGTGCGGCCTGACAACCTGGAAGACAGAGGAATATGAAGTGAATGCGACGCGAGTGAGGCTCTCCTCCTGGAACTATGAGGAGCCTGCTTGTGACATGGACCGGTATGTATTTGTAGTCTGTAGTGGCCAGTCAATATCCAGTATGTGACCTCGAATAGCCCCCCCAAAAAGAGGTATGACGACGTTGCGTTTGTCTGCCTGCTCGCGCGCTTGCCTCACCTTACCGCCCCATTTAATTGTGCCTGCTGGTCCCAGTCTGTTTGTACCTTGTCTGCCAACGCAGACACTCTGCTCTTTGATTCAAACCAGCTCGTCGAAGCCCGTGTAAGTTGAGTCGGTAGACGTTGACCCTCAAAGCGCCGGCTCGGCTTAGCTATACGCCGCTCTTTGCTTGCTGTGTATATCTGCTGGTTAGTCGCCCGACGACGATGGAGGCACGGGTATGCAGGAGCTCAGCGTCTGGAGCATGGGTTATGCAAACAGGCAGCGTTACCCTACCTCACGGCAGATGACTACACCATTAGGTCTGCAATCTCGGTGGCCCGAAGGAATGTCGCATACGACGTGCCAGGATGAGGCGGCGGCGGCTCTGTCGGATCGGAGAATGACGCGAGAAAGGCGCCTGGATGAGAAGTTGATATGCGATAGCTTGAGTAAACGGTGCGGCTTCGGACTTTCAAGCTTAAAATGCTACTGATAGTAGCAGTCGAGTGAGCGTGCCAGCTGTAGCATCAGGAGGCAAGACCAATCGACACGGGCCCCAAGGTAAGCAGGTAGCAATGAGGCATCGAGATACGATCGGTGGTGAATGCAAGTGAGCTATGGGGGTGTTGTATTTCATCGCATTGCTTGGGGTTGTATCTGTACCTCCCTCCTAGAAGTCGATGGAAGAACGAAACCTGCGCTCCAGTGCACGCACCCGCCAGGTTGAACGACCTATCGGCTGAGGATTCTAAACCTGGAGGTAGGTAAGTTCGGATACTTAGCCCTTCGTCAAGGATCTTAAGGCTTACGCATCGTGATGGTCAGCATCGGACTAACTCATCAAGAAGGTCCTTCCTTGGCTGTTCAACTCGCACACGGTGTGGCCTTGAGCGAAAGTTGCAACCCCACGTCAAAGTCCTATCCTGGATGCGAAAGTGTCTTTTGGTTGGTGAATTACCCGTAACATGAGTGGCCAGCGTGCTTCCAGTTCCGATGCAGTGTGGGATGCATCCCGTCAAACGTCTGAAATACAACCAGTTGCGATGGCTGTGAGTGTGGCTTCACCCCTCCCCTGAGCTCGATGTTGAGCTGCCTCGCTAGAGAGTCAAAGACGAAGGATTTTGGTTTCATTTCAGTCGGACACTGGAGCAGTAACCACGCATCAGGTGATCCTTGAATTCCAGTCCTGATGCTCTGTGGTCATTGTTGTCTGTCCATACTTGGACGATTTACACCGGGATTCTCAATAGGCCGTAGACGTGTTCTTGAGCATTAACGTTGTTGTGGATGACACTGGCAGGACGCATCAGAGCTCTCAAAAGCCAATCAGAACCTGCCGCAATGAGTTCACTCTCGGAAACCAATTGGTGCTCAGAATGTACGACGACACCTGGACTCCAATTGAACTGCCATAAAAAGGCTCCGATTCTAGTGTGATGGTGTTGGTAATGAAAGGCTTTGGCAGCAGCCAGGTAGCTGTTTATCTTGGTGTATGAGCTGATAACTCTTCACTGAAGGCCACCTCGCAGGCTCGTTTTCATTCTAGCCGACGCCTGACGACAGTGCCTGGCTACTGAGAATCCAAACTGAGCATGCCAATATCGCCAGCATGGAGCTGCCATCCTGCAGCCGGGCAAGCTTGCGGATGAGTCGGTCCCCGTTGAAGATTTGGCATTCACTTCCAGGTTGTGCCCCCAAGAGAATTCTACGCAATCCTCAGTCGGGGGCCGGGGCCCCTTGTTCAGCCCAAAAGCAAGTCAACCGGTCCCTACCCGCCAGCTGGTCGCACGTCAAAGGAGGCGCTTGAGTTGGCTAGAACCGTTGTTCGGTTCATTGCGCCCCTCTGTTGTCTAGGGAGACTTTGTTCAGCAAAGAATCCCACTGGTCTTGTCGAGTCAGAGGAACCTATTCTTGCGTCTAGCGGACGCAAAGCACATAGCGAATCGGACAGGTCTTGGAAGTTCCTGGGCAGCGTCTCCTGATTCTTTGGCCACGAGGCAACAGGCAGCTGCTGGCCTAAACAACGTTCTTGTACTTGCTCGTTTTAGTCGGAGCGACACGGCGTGGCTTGCATTGGACACCTGTGCCAGCGATATGCTTGTTCGACGCATCACTTGGCCTGGGCCAAGACAACGACAGATTATGGGGGCAACGGAGAACTAGTGATGCTGTACAGTGTACTTCTGGGTGATGCCAATGATCCCCGGCTCTGCTCGGCTCTGCTGGCTGATTCGAGCCTGGAGAGATGGAACGGATACGAACCGTTGTGTTCGTGCCAAGCGACATTGGAGACCATCTAAACATTGGTAGCATGGTCGATTATTAGTTGATTAGTTGAGTCCGAACTAGGCTTCGGGTGCTCTTTGCAAGTCGCAACTCTTGGAAACGCCGAGCAAACTTTCAAAGAAAGACTTTCCAACCTAGCCTGGAAGCGCACACGCAAGCCCTTCAGGTAGAGCGTGATATGAATTAGCAATCTTCAGACATGATGATATGGGTGGACTTTCTAAAGGCCGATGCTGACAATTTGAGTCGCAGACCCAGAGGTACTCTGTACATTGGCAAGAAACTGAGGAGGTTGTGGTAGCAAACGGTGGGTGTGGGAAGCACAGCAATGCAACGTCGATACGGTAGGCAAGCCGCAAATATGAGGATGAGAGGGAACGTCTAGGTCGCCGGAGCAGGACTTCATGGGACCAGTCTCTCCAGCCCCATCAGGTCCTCCACTGGCTGCAGCACCCCACCCCTCTAGAGCATTCTTGGGAACATGGCCTGCCGCAAGTGCAGTGGATGCCGAGCCTGCAGGGCATGCGGCACATTTGGCATCCAATGCTTGTGCTCGAGGGTTCGAGTGCGCCGACGGCGATGTCGACGAATAGTGGGCATGGTATGTAGATATGTACTGCGTACCCCGTGGGCCCGAGAAGTCTGAAGATGAAGAGAAAATACTCGTGGGATTACCGGACAGCCAGGCAAGGCGTAACGAGTTTCGGACTGACTGACTAAAAGCGACCGATGGAAAGGAAGCGCTGGAACACTGGGTCTGGACTTCTGGGCGTGGATGGGCGAGACTGGGTGACTGGTAAACGGGGGACCTGGATCCATCCCATCAACTTGCTCAAGGAAGATTAGCGGCATTGTCGTTGGAATCTGGACGGCAAGTCATGTACCTACGTTACAGTGCCCAACCAGCCGGCCGACATCTGCATTTTCCACTGGACTCAAAAGTATCTTTCAGATTGCTCGAGTGAACCAGAAATGCGGCATGTTGTCTGGACAATGTGCTTCAAGCTTGTTTCTAGAATTCCGAGGATGGTCATAGGGAGACAGTCTTGCCTTACTTGAGGTAGGTAGAGAGAGAAAGACAGAAGAGGAAACACCGAGAGAAAGAGAGATGAAGGTACAGGGTGCCGTACAGATACCTTACAAGCCCGCGCTTTCCTGGTCTTTCCTGGTCTTTCCCGTCCCTTCCCAAAATGTCAGGTTGAGCTTCCCTGTGCCTGCCTCAGCCTGCGGACCTGCCCTGACTGAATCCCAGAAACCCAGGGCAGAGAGACCGACCAACGGGGAGCTTTCCCCATGCATGTCACTTCTCACCCCCATTTCTTGCCTGTCCTTGCCACACCCTGTTGATTTTTTTATGTACCTCTATTTCTCTGTCTTTTGGACAACTTTTTTACGCTCAACTCACGCCTCCGCTACGGGATACCTACTGCTGCCCACATTGGCTGCTCTGCTCATCCTTCCCACACGCCGCAGCCACACCACACTTTCTTTCCATTCTCTCTCTCTCTCTCTCTCTCACACACACACCAGCCTACCTTACCTTTCCGTCCCCAGCCTGGCATCATACCCTGACCTCCCATCTACCTTCACTTTTTTCTCTCTCTGACCGGCGTAGCCTGCTAGCTAGCTAGACCACCTTAGTAGTCCCTCCCCCTGCTCGGTACCGTGGGCTGTTGGAGGCACAAGCTCTGCCTTCAAAGGGTTAAGTATATAAATCAACTTTAATTTCCCCTGGAGCCCGATCCCGCCCAATTTTTGCTCTTATGGCACGAGACATGCCACTCTCTGGCCTGCACCAGAGCTCCCAGCTACTATTACTACCACCGCCTGAGCAACCTACGTCCATCCTGGCCCATCCCGGCCTCGACTTCTTTCACTTTCCACGTTGAACACCTTTGCTCCTTGTGTCCGTTCCATTGCGGTCAGCTCCTTGAGCCAAAATATACAATCCCCATCTTTTACCCTCTCACTAGGGTCTTTCGTCACTCAGTGGTGCGTGCCTCAGTCATATCTGACGCCGCGTCCTTCCGCTTCATCCTCCTTCCCGCCTCCTGTCTGGTCTACAACAAGCAACCTTTGTCACCCAGAACTCTCAAACCCCGAACCAGCCAGACGACGAGTTTTCTCCCTCTTCTGTCCTATCTCCTTCGCCCGGCCGACACGACACTTGCCTGCCTTGCCCCGACTTCGCTCTCTGTAAGCCATTGAGTGACTCGGTACGGTCAAGGTTTGCCCTTTGGCCGGAAACGTGCGACTGCTGGCCCGACACAGGCTGGTCCCACTCGTTTCTCCATCGTGGTAGTGAATCCATCCGAGCGTTCCCTCAGCTGGTCTCTCTTTCACTCTTTTGCTCTCTGCTGCTGCTGCCGCCGCACCTACGATCGCACCGCCTTGGGTTCTGCCCTGGTCGGATCTCGCAGAGAAGTCTGGTAGCTGCTACTGGTCCTCAAATCCGAGCCTTGTTCGAAGCTGCAACACGCGCCAACAATCTGCGCTTCACTGAGGGTTCTCTCGCTGTCGTGTGATTCGGCATCGCACCCTTTCCCATTTCTAACAGCTCATACCACTCAAAAAAAAGCGCGAACATGTCGTTGAAAAACCTTTGAACCCGCATCGAACCCCGACACCCACCGCCGCCCGGACAGATTTGGACTTGCAAATCATCTTGCGAGGGAAAAAAGTTGCCGGACCTACCGCCACCGCACATCAGAGCAGCCCCCACCCATAACCGACCCCAAACACATTCCACAACAAACCCCGCGACAGACGAGCTGTCCGAGATGGCTTCCTCTCATAAGGAGCGGACGATGGAGTCACGCACGGGAAGAAGCAAGCAGCGTAAGTGCGCAAACGGGGCAGAGGCAATACCCCTCCCATTCTGAGCCTCTTCCCCGACCCTGGTGCGCCTGCTCGCTGCGCGGGACCCACTAACACCTTGGTCATCGCAGGTTACAACTCCAAAGGCGAGCGCTTGGTTGCTGGTGTTGTCCCTCTAACCAAGGACAAGCGCTACGTCCTCCTCATCCAGTCCACCCGTCGGAAGGGCTGGGTACTGCCCAAGGGCGGCTGGGAGACAGACGAGGAGTGCACCGAAGCGGCGGCGCGTGAAGCCTGGGAAGAAGCAGGCATCACTATCGAGATCGACTATGATTTGGGAGACATCGTCGAGACGAGAGCACCGAAGCACTCTAGCAAAGACTCGGCCAAGGCCCTGTATAGGTTCTACGAGGCTACCGTCACAGCGCAAGAGGAAGCTTGGCCCGAAAGCCACAAGAGGGAACGCCAGTGGATGACATACGCCCAGGCCAAAGATGCGTTGGCAGCTCGACCTGAGCTCCTTGAGGCATTGACAAGATGCACTATGAAGAAGTCATGATACGCACCCGGCGCATAGACGCTCGAGGTTCCTTGGCTTTTGTTTGCTCCTGGTTCCTAGCGCAAACAGACATCTTCACGGTGCAATATGCTACCAAGGTCACTACTGTCGTCAAACGAAGAGGCGCCCCTGCAATGATGTATCGATCACGAAGAAGCTGAAAATGCCAAAGGGTTCCTGACTCCCGATAGAGGAAATCATGGCCCCGAAGAGCACACCTGGTAATTCGTCGGCACCATTCGGTTTACAGACGAAACAATTCTCGCACTAACCCGCCGAGGAAAAGAAAAACAAGAAAAGAAAAATAATTGCATTATGATATGGGCGTTGATGGTTTGCTTGCTATAGATGACGAAAATCAAAAGGGGCGGCCCAGGACTGGCATGGGAAGCATCAAAGAGCAGAACTGCAATTGAGATATGGCGAAGCGGGAGGATTTTCATGGCAGTCATGGTTACTCATGACTAAAGCCAATGCTCTTTGGAACTGTTGGGGACACTTCGCGAGATCAAATGGTTCTTTGATCATAGATAGACTAACGCAATAGTCCGCAGAGAGCAGTATCGTGAGAAAGAGACAACACGAAGCTAGACGTAAGAAAGCTGCAACCCTTTTGAGGTTCGTGTGACCAGACCTTTTCCAAGACCTGATCCAAAACCTTTGTCTCGTCCATGTCACTGGCGCGACACAAAGCCTTCCTCACAACAACGAATGCCTACCTTCTGTCGGTCAGCGCAGACATTGGAAGTTGAGAGCAGACATCCGGACAGGACTGGCTGCTTCCCCTCCACAGCACCACCCAAACACCCAAACACCCAAGGTACCGTCAGGGACCGCGACTGCCCCGCATGCATCTGAGATCATCAGAAATTTTGACAGCAGGGATTGACTCATGCCCCGCCTTTCACGTGCCCTAGCCGCCGACCTCCCACCAGCAAACGATCCGTGCTTGCGGTCTCTGCCGGGACGGTTCAGCTCCACCCGGCTCCTGCTGCCATGTTGTACCTATTCGGATGACGCAAAAACAGGCTTTCCGATGCCACACTCCAGCTAGGTACCTTTGAGAACACCGCCACACCCACCAAGCCGTACCAGGGAGGACCCCACGATGATGATGGCTTGACCGATCACACCCAGCGCTCCTGAGCCAAAAGAAGCGACCAAAGCACGATTGCCCGTACTGAGAAGACTGAGGCAAGCTATTAACGAGTGTTCGAAAACCCCTCTTGATGATGTCCTTGTGCGGCACTTCATAATCTACCCATTCGCTTTGCTACATCGCATTCGCCTCGCACCCTCTTTTTGCGCCCAAATCGATGGACTGGGACAGGCCCGAATGCAATAACTACCACATACCAATGACAACAAGATAACAATGGAAAACCTCAACATCTCCGATGCCCCTCCCCAGGGGCCCCAACCCGTTCTCGGCGGCCGCGCACCGCCTCCCCAACAGACCCCTCAGCTCCCGCCTCAGATGTTCACCACTGCGGCACAGCTGCTGGACATGACCGACAGTATGGGAAATACCACGGCAGCCTCGGCCGCATGAGTGCTGCGGTACTCTTCGCGACACCAAACGCTAACCTTCCGTCAGAGAAGCTCATGGTTGCACTGCGCGACGGGCGCAAACTGATCGGCGTCCTCCGTAGCTGGGATCAATTCGGTATGTAAACGGCAAAACCCCAAACAACTCATGAAGCTGTAGCTGAAATAAGGCTGACAATGGATCTCTTTCCTTTACCTTTTCTCAGCCAACCTCGTTCTTCAAGACACCGTCGAGCGCGTCTATGCCCACCCGGACCCGGAAGCCAACCCGCCCCGCGAAGGGGGCCTCTTTGCGGATATCAAGCGCGGCATCTTCCTTGTTCGCGGCGAGAACGTGCTCCTCCTGGGCGAGATCGACCTCGACAAGGACGACGATCCACCCGTGGGCTACGAGCCGGGCGACCTCAAGCTGGTTCAGGGCCTGGCGAACGAGAGGAAGGAAAAGGAGAAGGCGCGCGACAAGGGGCGGATCAAGAAGCTCAGCACACTGGGCTTCGAGGGCGAGAACATGGGCGAGATTCTGCTCTGATTCTCCCTGGTTCATGTTCTTATTCCCCTCTCTCCGCCCTTCATGATGAGATTTCTGCGCGGGAAAACCCTGACCACCAGAACAACAGCAACTCAGCTTATGGTCTCTTTATTCATTCTCCATATGACTCACGAATGCACGCCGAATGAGAATGGGTTCGGGTTGGGTTCGAGCTGGGAAAGGAAGTCAAACCCCGAGACCCGGGTGTGGTCTACGTGATTGCCGAGTGATACAACGCACCGGCTGTCCACTTTGTCCTTCCGACGCCCCAGTGGAAGGCTGGTAGGATGCTTGAGCAGAATATTGTGAAATGCTCATTATCCAGGGTCCGGTCATCACGACCGACGCCAGCAGAATAGAATTTAAAGCGTTTTACAAATTACCCGGCAAAAGCTTGAACTTGTGCGTGTTATTCTAGGTACTCTTTTCGTCTCTCTAGCATTCTGTCACCTGGCGCTCATTCAAATCAGTGTTTATTTACAAAGTTGAAAGGCAAGTCCATATTTTTATACGTCCACCCCTTGGCTCACAAGTACATGCTCTTCATCACAACCCGGGAACAAAGCCCTCAACTACGATATCCCACTCGCTAGGGAAGTGAGGTCCCTCCTCACCATCCCAACCACCAGCCATCATGGCCACGGCTAGCAGCAGACTACTCGAGCTCGGGAAGTACGGCGTAGGCACCCTCGTTCCGCCGACGGGGTACCCCGCGTCGTCAAACTGGAACGTCGGGTGGAGAAGATAGTCGACGGCACGATTTGCGTCGCCCAGGCGGAGGCTGTTCATCGCGAGCATGGGGAAATCCCAGCCAAAGGACTCATCGAGGTCCCACAGCGCCCAGATCCGGGCGGCGGTCTCCTCAAGCACGGTGCGGTTCAGCGTCGGGCCCGAGGCCGGCGGCGGGAGGAGGCCAAAGATGCCGACCATGGCCGGGTGGTCTTGCACTGTCGTCGTGTTGGCTGTCCACATGTTGGGGATGTCTTGGTAGACGGGGTACGTGCCGTCGATGATGGGTAGGGGCGCGAGGTTATCTCTGACGGTGGTCCAGGCTTCCGGGACGGAAGCATTCTGGCGGGATTTCCAGGCGATGGCGACGTCGAGGCCGAAACGCCAGTACGCGAGCTCAAAGGTCGGGTTGACGGTGGCGTTGGGGTTGGTGTTCTCCGAGACGGGGTACATGGGCGGGCCGAGGTCGTAGACGCCCGTCGTCTCGTTGAGGAAGGCGTACGAGGCCATAAAGTCCGCCGTCGCCGTGAGGACGGCGTCCCAGTCGGCGAGGGTCTGCGGGGTGGGCGCGTGGCGGTAGGCGAGCTCGGCAAAGTACATTGCGTGCGGCTGTTGCCAGATGAGGAGGGTGTTGATCTCGCCAGGGGCGTCTATGGTAGAAGGGTCCGTCATCTTGCCCCAGCGGGCGCCGGCGTAGCCTTGGGTTGAGGCGCGGTTGAGGGAGGAGGGGAGGAGGTGGGTGTAGGTTCGGGGGAGAGAGCGGGCGAGGAGGGCGTGGTTGTTCCAGCGGGCGAATTGGAGGGTGTGCCAGAGGATCATTTCCATCTTGAAGCGAGTGTGTGAACTGGGTGAAATCCTTTATCAAGGAGTTTGGAGGATGGAACTTACATGGAACTTGCCAAACCATCCATTGTTCACGAGACCGGACTCTATGTCCTTGTCAGCACTCTTCTCGGGCGAGAGAGAAGTTGATAGGGGGGTTGGATTGCTAACTCACCTTGCGGAGGATAGTCTGACGCCGAGTTCACCGCCACGAGATACTGAGACTGGATTATCCTGCGCTGAAGCTCGGTCGCGTTGGCATTCGATGTCCCCGTTAGGTCTACAAAGGCCCCGTTGTTCCAATAAGCCGGCCACCATTCCCGCGAAGCCGCCACGACGCCGTTAAATTCGGGAACGGACTCAGGTACAGACAGCGCAAAGTTGGCCGTGAATCGTAGCGTATCCGTCCCACTGGTCGAAAGGACGTATCGATGGCCCCCGTCGGTCGGTGTTTTGATAGCACCACTACCACCAGCGGCGACATTCCACTCGAGTGACAAGTCGTACTGGGTCGTGGTCAAATCGTGATGGATCGTGGCCTTGTTGGTCTCTCCTCCGCTAGGGGTTGATAGGGATGTCTTATGCAGGTCCGTCTGGTTGAAGACGCCTACGAACGGGGCGCCAAACTTGTCGTTTGTCGGGTAGGGAAAGTCGAAGAAGATGGATAAGGCGCCGGAGGAGAGGAGGGCCGATTCGACGGACACGGCGACGCTGTCCGAGGACGGGTCTGCCCAGGTTTCGACCTTGACGGTGTGGTTTTTATATATGAAGCTGGAACGGATAGCGCCCGTCCACATGTCGAGGGTCTGTTTCTTGTTGCCGAGCATGTCCTCCCTGACTGTCGTATTGCCGCCGTCGGAAAAGGAGAAGCCGATGGTGCCTAGATTTATGCGGTGCGGGTTCTCGCGGAGCCAGTCTGCGATGTCGTTGTTTGAGGGGTTGGCCATGTTGTACTGTACAAGTCGGCCGTGTGTCCACCATTCTGTGCCGTGGTAGTCTATCGTGATGAGAGTCAGTACATGCTTTCTGGACCCAATGCTGTTGTACGCCTCTCGGCCGTGCCATCTCACCTTCGATTTGAGTCTGACCAGGCGTTGTGGGCAAGCTGAAGTTGTGCCATCCCCATGTCGACATGGTCGCAAAGGGGCTGAAGGTCTGGAGACCCGTGATATCGGCACCAAAGGCGAAGTTGCCGTTGCCTACCTGCAGAGGCGTCTCAGGGGAGCTGGCATTACGGCGAGGGTTGAAGGCTTGGACGACCTTTTGCCTGTCGATTTTGGCCTCGATGAGGCTGCAGAGCAGCGGTAAAAGATGTACAACACGCATGACTGTCACCTTCCAATTGGGAAATATCAAGACCGCATATGGGAAGCCAAGTCGATGCGATGTGTATGGTGTCAACCCCGGACATCACGTTACGCGGGGAAACCGTGCTGCTCTTATTTCATCCCCAAGAGATCTGCGGTCCGGTCATGACGACGCGTGAGGCCGGGTCCTCCCCCCTTGTGGTCATGTGTGAAGTTTGTGTTCATGGTTCTTGTCCGTCTAGTGCTCACCTTTCGGTGTGGTTTGCACCGAAGGCACCAATGCCATGCTATGGATATGCCCTGAGGAACGATGAGGGGGAAGAGATGAACTATGAATGCGGGGATGACATGGTCTCCACTTTGGAATTGAGGCTATTCAAAACCCAGGCCGGCAGAAGTCCTCGTGGAGGATTGAGTTTGTCTGCGGAGAAAACGACAGGGATGCCACAAGTGGGTGACTCGACTGAATTACCAGTTGAGACTCTCCAGATGCCCTGAGGCTGGAGGTCGAAGTATAATGGCATCGAAAACTACCAACAGCAGTTGGATCTTACCGTCCGCAAATGTAAAATGCCGTAATTCTGGGTCCTGGCTCCGGGAATTAAGAGCCCCGCCCGATGTCATCCGGCTGTCCGTCACTGGGGGAAGCGGGACAGGCCCCGGGCTCCAGCCACAAACTGCAGGGGCCAACTGTGGCTGATATATCCACCAGCCAGGCTCCTGCAGCCCAGCAACCGCCCCGATTGGGCAAGCGCATAAACATCACTCATCCCTTCGATGCAGTAGGGGGGACCCTTTCACAGGCACCTTACCTCATGTCACCCAAAACAGCCGACACAGCGCGCCGTGGATCCAACAACATCTTGGTTTGACATTTCACCTCCAGACATACCTCCCCCGGTTGCGCAAATAGGATACGAGCATCGAGTCGACACCTTTGGACGTCATATGATTATCTGGTATGTCACAACATCAATGGCATCTCTCTGCGACTTCCCTCTGGATTTCAATTGTTCCATTACCCCGCTAACCACTGGAATGAGCAGCCTTCGACGATAACATTAAACATCGAACCTCCTTTGGCGCGCATTTCGATAATAGACGCCGCCCACCATGGACAGGGTCGCGGGCCTCACAGTGTCAGTACCACACCCAACACCGCATCTATGATGTCCCTTTTGCAATACATCAGTGTGAGGACGGGTCTGCTGGCGGGAATACCACCGCTGCCACCCCCAGTACCGCCAGCTGTACCCGATCCTCCTCCACGGCATTATGGCGGTAGTCTCGTCAATCGAGACGTGACTGTCATCCAGACTCCTGAACCGCAGATCCCAGAACCAGTGTTGACAGCTGCTGACGATGACTACGAGGACGGCAGTAACCAGAAGGCGGCTAGGAACCAATTTCGGGCGCGTACTGTCAAGGGAGCCAACAACGGCGTTGCACTGCGACAGTATGCCGAGGCTACACTCGGAGGCGGCAGCCTGCGTAAGGTTGTGAAGTTGCCTGAAGGCGAAGACGAGAATGAGTGGTTGGCAGTCAATAGTGAGTATCATCCGGAGGAATTGAGAGGTGGACCAAAGGAAACGGCACAACTGACACGACCCAAATGCAGTGGTCGACTTTTACAACCAGATCAACCTCCTCTACGGCGCTATTACCGAATTCTGCTCGCCTCAATCATGCCCCGAGATGAAGGCAACCGACGAGTTCGAGTACTTGTGGCAGGACAGTGAAAACTACAAGAGGCCGACTAAGATGGCCGCGCCGGACTACATTGAGCACTTGATGGCCTGGGTACAGCGTCACATTGATGACGAGCAAATCCTGCCGAGCAGAATTGGTGAGTATTGCTTTGACATGCTCAACGGGAGATTGTTTCTAACATGGACCGCTAGGTGTTGCCTTCCCCAAATCGTTTCCCTCAACAGTGCGGCAGATCTTCAAGCGCATGTATCGCGTTTATGCCCACGTCTACTGCCACCACTACGCAGTCATCAGAGAGCTTGGACTGGAGCCCCATCTCAACACGAGTTTCAAGCAGTACGTTCTGTTCGTCGACGAGCACAAATTGGCTAGTGGCAAGGACTTTTATGGTCCTCTGAACGATCTCGCGGAGAAGATGATTGAAAGCGACTGAGACAGGCCAGACGAGCCTGTTGAGAGTATGAATGCATGCATTGTCTAGGCGTTGGGGAAACATGGATGACACGCCGGTTGGCAAGGTAATAAGGAAGGTCTGATGGTTGGCGCGTGGGGCTTTGACACTGCTGAGCCTGTGGACACGAGGCATTGAAGCGGTTATTGTGATATCACTGTAGACTACAAACTGGGTAACGGGTAGTACGGCTTTGGTTTGAGAATTCGAGAATTGAGAATGACCAAATCGCTGTGCATTCTCGAGTATCTTGGGTACATTGCATGGAGTTCCATCTTGAAGTTGTGAGACTACTGCGTACAAGTGACTTGCTTCGTCCCATTACACCAGAATTGGCTTCAAAGAGTGGAGCTTGGGCCTGCCTCTCTGTTCAGTAACAACGAGCACCTCCGATTTCCACCGACCCGAGCCCTCGACCCGCTTACCTAAGTTGATGCCTTACCACTCAACCAGGAAGCAGCCGCAGTGTCCCAAGGCATCAACATCCTAAATTGCCGAAGTTCAAACCTCAACCTCGAAAACCGACGCAAGCTACCACTACTGCGTCTCGATCGAATCCAGCCATCCCTTCCCGCCCGTCTCCCATCTTCAATTGAACTCCACCACCCACCACAACCGGAACCTCTCTTTCGCCCGACATGTTCTCGAGACAGGCTGTTCGCACCCTCCGAGCGGCGGCTCCCGCTTCGCGCCTCGTCGCCCGCGCCCCGGCCGTCCGCACCTACGCCGCTGCCGCCGCGACCGAGGCCGTCAAGCCCCCCGTCGCCGTCTTTGGCCTCGACGGCACCTACGCCACTGCCCTGGTACGCACCTGTTCCTCTCGTTACACTGGTTATCCCCTGGACGGAAGGCAATTCAATTGGATCAATTGGCTGGGGAAGGAAGTTGTTGATTGAGAGGATTGATGGGGAATGAGGGAGCTTTTCGGAAGGAATTTGAGGCATCGAGGGAAAAACACAACCGGGATGGGAAAACCACTCAAAGAACTCACAGACGGCTAACCTTTGCCCGATCACAGTACACCGCCGCCTCCAAGACCTCTTCCCTGGACCCCACGGCCAAGGCTCTGGCCACCCTCGACGCCATCTTCGCCAAGGACCCCAAGCTGACCACCGTCCTGGCCGCGCCCACCCTGACCCCCGAGGACAAGTCCGCCATCGTCGCCGAGCTCACCAAGCAGGCCGGCGCCGGCTCCCAGGAGACCGTCAAGAACTTCCTTGCCGCCCTCGCCGAGAACAACCGCCTCGGCCTCCTCCCCGGCATCACCCAGAAGTTCGCCGAGATCATGAGCGCCGCCCGCGGCGAGGTTGAGCTCACTGTCACCAGCGCCACTGTAGGTTTCCCTTCTCTCATTTGAGACTTGAGTATGGGGGCATATGCGGTTCGTCGTTGAGAAATCGAAGACGGACTCGAAATGTCTAGACAACTGTTGTACCTCGAACGTTGCAACGTATCAACGAGGGAATTTCGCACATGCATTCAGGCACGTCATTGAAAACAGGCCACTAACACCCATTCTCAGCAACTCGACAACAAGACCCTCAACCGCCTCGAGAGCTCCATCGCCAAGTCCTCCTACGTCGGCCAGGGCAAGAAGCTCAAGGTCACCAACAACGTATGTTTTATCGCCTTACCCTCGTCTCCGAGCTGTCCCTCCGAGACCACCTCGGTCCAGATGCTGCGGCATCAGACACCTGGGTTTCCTCTATGACTGACACGCCCTTCTTTCTAGGTCAACCCCGATATCGTCGGAGGCCTCATTGTCGAGATTGGCGACCGGACCATCGACCTCAGTGTCTCTGGCAAGATTGCCAAGCTCAACAAGCTTCTCACTGACACTTTGTAAAAACACACACACACACAATCTTCCATCATACTAGCATGAAGAAATCCTAATCCTCCTTCTCCCCCCCACATCGAACCAAACCTCCTCCCTTATTTTCTCTTTGTGTGCGTGTGTGTCTATCTTGTAAACTTGACCGGACGGGGGGGTTTAGTGGGAAGGAGGAGGAGGGTGAGGAGGGAGAGAACGGTCCGGCTCTTACCACGTGTAACGACGAAATTCACGTGAGACAAAAAGCTGGATTGAGATGTTGGTTGGCCGCTTTCCCCCTTCCCCCGGGGCGAGAGGACAATTGGGGGGAAGCCCGAATGAGACGAAAGCTGTGCATAGTTCTGTCTACAATAGAAGCATTCACGGAACCCCTTTTCTACCACATACACTCGCGAGTCTTCGTAAAGGCTACCTCTCTCTCTTCCGGTCTGAAACTGAAAAAGTGGCGGATGCACCAGCTGTTGGTGCTCGCTCTCATCATGATCCCTCTATCGTAACGCTTGCACGTCTGACATTGATCCTCATCTTCCATGACCAACTCAACGACAGTTGGCACGCGCTAACTCAATGGAACCGTATGATACAGATATTGATGCGGTTTGTTCATAATGGTTCGTTGGGAGGGCGAATTTTGAACGAGTCACGATAGTGAGCAAATGTAGATCCGAGGGTCTTCCGCTGGCTTTGAGGATCAAACTCGACTGGAACGTCAGCCTTCAAATTGTAGAGTTAATGATCCAACACTTAGGTAGTACATCACACCCGGAAGAACAATTAGTTATGAACACTGCGTGGTAGAAGGTCACTCTCTCTGGACTCCATCACGGCTACCTGAAGATCCCGAACAAAGCCGTGCCTCAGTGGGCAAATCAAGTGTCCTGGGCTGGCCGTCTTTGACTCTGTATCACATGAAGGCCATACGGGCCTTACGCCACGTGCTCCAGACCAGGAAGCCACACTTCCTGTTCGCTTAATACTGGAGCTTCGCCGTTAGATGGCCGATAGCTTGATTTGGCAAGAGATGGGTGCCACGCTTCAAGCTGACGCATATATGAACGTTAGGGAGAATGGTTCTCGCTGCAGATATCTCAAGCCGGAAGAGCACCAGAAGCCTTGTTGGAAACCCCAATCTACGTATATTAACCCCAGGAACCTCTACCTGTGCAGTCTAACAGTCCTGTATATGGCTCTATGTGCAGTGATGGCAGTCTTTTTTCGTTTCTCTTCATGCTCACTACGCAAGGAAACTCCATGGATGCACTCGTACTCTTCATTTAACCGCCCACAATCAGATGCACGAACACCAGCCTATCCCTCGAATTTTTCGCGTTTCCTGACGACTGGAGGGAAGCTTTAGACACCAGCCTCATATTCGTTGTCGGTTCCACCCGGGTGCTCTTTGTCCTCCTTGAACCTCTCCAGCTGATCCGAGATGTAGCGGTGCATGTGTGCGTCGGCCTCCGACTTCTCTCTCATCCTCTGCCGAAGCTTCTCTGGGTCATCTAATGTGGCCGAGTTGCTCAGTGAGTCGTCGCCGTTAGTCTCGTCAAAGTCGCTCCTTGCACCGATGGATCTCGCCGTTGATGATCTGCGCATCCGTGGCTTGCCACCAGGGCCAGGCGTCATCGAGCCACGGCGATCAGTGCCACGGGCAAAGATATCATCAAAGTAGTGAGACATCCCCGCTGAGGGAGTCCGGGGAGTATGAGGCAGACGGCAGTTGATACTGGAAAACCATGTTAGCAATCATGTTCAGAGGTGGCAGAGTAGAGACAATCTTACCCAGTGTCGTGGATCATGCGAGCCATCAAACCGGTCCAACCACACTGGTGGGTAGCACCGAGTCCACGGCCACTGTCGCCGTCGAAGAACTCGTAGAACCAAAGATAGTCCTTCCAGTAAGGGTCGAAGTCCAGAAGGTCGTTTCCGGAGTTGATGCTACGACGACCCTCGTCGTTACGCGTCATCAGGTGCTGCAGACGATGCTGGATCTCCTCGGAGACGTGGCCCAAATGCATGTAGTCGCCACTGCCCGTGGGACACTCGACTTGGAACTCGTGTCCGTAGAACAAGAAGAATCTCTGAAGAGACTCAACCAGAAGGAAGTTGACACACAACCAAATGGGGCCTCTCCAGTTACTGTTGCCACCAAATAGACCGCTATCAGAGTCACCAGGAACGTAGCCGACGGAGAAAGTCTGGCCATTAACCTCCATTGAGAAGGGGTGCTCCTTGTGGCACTTTGACAAGGACCGAATTCCGTGTTCGCTGAAGAATTCGTCCTCGTCAAGCATGCGGTACAGAATCTTCTCGAGCCTGTCCTTGCTGACAATGGACAAGAGAATACGGTTACCCTTTCCACGCTTGGCAATACTGGCCATGTTTCGCTCGGCCAAATCGCAGCGGTTTTCCATGAACCAATCAACCCTCTTTTTAAATGAGGGGAGCTTGTTGATAAGCTCAGGCTCAAGAGTCAGGGTCGCGTAAAGCGGAATCAATCCGACGAGAGAGCGGACTGGAAGCTGCTGGATCCAGGGGCCACCCCATGAAATGGCATCGTAGTAGAAACCATCCTCGTCATTCCAGAGCGACTTCTCGTCCTTTTGGCCAGTCCTGAAGGTCATGGCGTCACTGATGAAGATGAAGTGCTCAAAGAACTTGGAAGCAATATCCTCGTATGTGCGTCGGTGCTTTGCAAGCTCAAGGGCAATGTTGAGCATGCTGAGACAGTAGAAGGCCATCCATCCGGTACTGTCGGCCTGCTCCAAAGAGCCGCCGGTTGGGAGAGGCTCAGAGCGGTTGAAAAGACCAATGTTGTCGAGACCGAGGAAACCTCCCTCGAAAACGTTCTTGCCATCGGCGTCCTTGCGGTTAACCCACCAGGTGAAGTTCAGCAACAGCTTCTGGAAAACTCTCTCGAGGAAGTCCAAATCCTGGCGTCCGTAGAGCTTGCGCTCAATCTTGAACACTCGGAACGTGGCCCAGGCATGAACGGGGGGGTTCACGTCACCAAAGTTCCACTCATAGCTACACGGCGTCAGTACCAGTCTAACTGGGTTGATTGGGAAGTAACCTACGCTGGCAGCTGGCCGTTGGGATGGCAGTACCACTCTCTGGTGAAGAGATCAAGCTGCTTCTTGGCGAAGTCTGGATCCATCATCGCCAATGTGATGCAGTGGAAAGCACTGTCCCACGCTGCAAAGAAGGGATATTCCCAAGAGTCGGGCATAGACAAAATGTCATCGCAGTGCATATGTTTCCACTGAGAGTTGCGAATGTCTTTTCTGCTTGGGGGCGGAGGGGGTTGTGTCGGGTCACCATTCGCCCATTGGTCCCAAATAAAGAGGTAATGCTGCTTAGTCCACATCATTCCGGAGAAGGCTTGACGTTGAATGTTGCGCAGATCGTCTGCCATGGGGAGGGGGCTGAGGCGGTAGTAGAAATCGTCGGCCTCGGCGATTCTAAGATCGACCAGGTCATCAAAGTCGCCTTCGTCGAAGTAGGTCTGGTTCTTCTTGGAGAAGCGGAAACGGACGACAGCACACTCGCCGGGAGGAACACCACCATCCTCGTTGAAGCTGAACCAGGCGGCGCACTTGGTGCCCTTCTGTGCTGGGTTGACGGCCCCCTTTTCCTTCTCGCAAATGTGACGATGGAAGGCATCCTTGACGTACGGAGTCTTGTTGTCCTGCTCGTACAGCAGCTCATAGTTTGTGTCGTTGTCGGTAAACAACATCTGCGGTATTACGTCCTCGCCGCTGGTACCAACGCCGGGAGAAGGTGACATCAGGAAGTAACGGTCCCCGAGCTTGTGATGCTTGGACTTGGCCAGGCCTTCGCCAATGTTCTCGATGGACGGCTTCTTGTCCTCGGGTTCCCGGCCCCAGGCCCAGGTGTTGCGGAACCACATTTGCGGCACAATGTGAAGTGGTGCCGGATCGGGACCTCTGTTCCATGCGGTAACACGGAACAGGATCTCCTCGGGGTCGTCCGTCTCCTTTGCCGTCTCGATGAAAATATCCCAGTACCTGTCTTCGTCGAAGATGCCCGTGTCAACGATCTGGTACTCCTTGTCTTCCTTGCCTCTGCGTGCATTTTCTTCCAACAGGTCCTTGTAAGGGAACTTCTTCTGCGGGTACTTGTAGAGGAACTTCATGTAGGAATGCTGCGGGCGGATTGTCAGTATGAGCAGTTGGGGACCAGCTCTTTCCAACTTACTGTCTACAATGTCTGTTAGCTATTGAACTACAAATAATCACAGCAACCTTGGGCTACTTACCGGGGTATTGTCAACGTGGAAGTGGGCTTCCTTGACACTCTCGCCATGGTTACCCTGGGGGTTTGAGAGACCAAACAATCTCTCCTTGAGGAAATCACTGTCGGATTATCAGCTCTTTGTACAAAGCATACGTAGCCGACGAGCGTTTGACTAACTCTTCCTCGTTCCAGAAAGAAAAACCAATGTTTTGGAAGCCGTGGGTATCAGAAACGCCGGCAATTCCATCCTCACCCCATCTGTAGGCTCGGGATCGTGCGTGGTCGTGGGTAAAGTCTGGGGCATGCTGTCAGCGGATTGCGACTGGAGCTCGTGGGGAATGGCGGGGTGTGCTCACGACTCCACGCGTCTCCGTCGGGACTGTAATCCTCTCGCACTACGACACAGCTTTGATTAGATTATGTTTGTTTCGTTCACGGCGGGATTGCCTGCAGCAGCGGCACCAACTGCAGTAGCAACGGTAGCAGCTGGGGCTGGATTTGAAGCTTGAGCTTGAGCTGCCACTCACCAGTGGCCCATTGGCGTTCGGCGACGTAAGGGCCCCATTTCTTCCAGTACTTCTCGCGTCTGCGGTCTTCCTTGAGACGCTTCTCCTCCTCGGTAAGGTACTCGTGACCGTCAAAGACAACCATGGTGGGCGAATAGGCACCTCGTAGCGTTGGAGAGACACAGCACGCCCTTCACGACAGCGAAAGCAGCGTCGTTGAGGGTTGAGGGATTTCCAGGGCGTAGGATTGAGGGCGAGTTGTGGGCTTGTGGCGAGAGAAGAGAGAGAGAGAGAGGGAGAGGGTGTAGGTTCGGCGGGACGAAGTGCAGGGTTAGGATGGAGGTGACCTTTAGTAAGAACCAGAGACCCTAGCCAGCAATGCTACCGAGAACAGCACGAGCAGAGCACGTCACGTATCACGATAACCTCAGCGACAGGCGGTCAGTTCCGTTCACACCTGGTCGTCGAGCTAGCTCAACAAGGGGAGGAAGGTCGAGACTCTCGAGGTTGCAGAATGCAAGATTGCGTAGAGGACCAGGAGGTAAGGCTAGGTAGGTAGGTAGTAGCGTAGGTGCGTCTTATTCAGAGGGGGAAGACTCGAGAGATAGAGACGAGAAAAATAAATTAGAAATGCGGCTACTAGTATGTATGTGCCTCACTGCCCTGAGTGACGGATGTGCCAGCAGGGAACCGACGTGTTGGGAAACACGCGGGCAATGGCGGGAGCTCTGGTCCGAAAAGAATGAGATAGCGCCTCAGCATCTTCAGGTACCAGGTGGGAAACCAACCAACCATGGGCCGCGATAACAAAGCTACCTTACCTTAAGCCCAACTGACGACAATGAGTCGAGCGAGGTAGGCACTTGATAGCCAAAGTGCAGTGCGGAGTGTCAGCGGAGGTAACAGCGAACAAGCAGCTGCGACACGAGTAAGCAGAAAAACTTCCATGGTTCTGGAGAGTACTCCGTACCTAGCTTACCTACCTACCTTAGCCTCACAGCCCGCGGCAGTAACAGCCGCGGGCAAGCAAGCAAGCAAGCAAGCAAGCCGCTGCAGCACACGCCGGGGGCAGGCAGGCATCCAAGGTTGAGGGGGTGACGGCCGCGGGGCATTCAAGCCATGCCATTTAGTTTGCCCATCTGGAATGGCCGCCATACGACCTACGTACCTCGCACTGGAAATTTTGTGCCATTCTAGGTGCCTGTGGCTTCTGCCAACCTTGAATGCCTGCGTTCCCCAGTGCTTCCCCCATTCGTCTCCGCACTCCGCAAGACATAAGAGGAGCAGCTGAGCAGCATAACCTTAGCTAACGATCGCCTGCCAATTGCTCTCTGGGATGAGATCAGCATACAAGTCTGACGGAGCAGCTTGAACTCACCGTCTCTCGTGAATATTTTCTCCCCAAAGTTCCCTCCTTCTGCCTTCAACCACCAACCATCCAATTGCTACCTCCCGGACACCGATATTACAGCGGCTGGCTGCTGCTGCTGCCCCTTGCTGCCCCTCTCTTTGAAACGCTAAAATCAGAGCTTTCAGGAGCATGACGTCAATGGGCTCTAGCGCACCTCCATCCAACCTAGCGGGGCAGCTCTTCGCCGGCCACATCTCACTGCATTGGGCCGTCGCTGCCACCCCCGGGGCCCCGACATGGCCTGGACCGCCGCCGACTGACAAGGGCACATGGGAACATGCGAATCGATCGTCGATGAAGTGCTGTTTTGGTCCTGCTTGCCGCCGCCGCACAAACCCAGACACACTTCCAATGGCCCCCGGCCCGACCAGAGAAACGTGGTTTGATGCTGGTGGTGTTGTTCATGGTGAGCCTCAATGACTTCTTTTGACTTCTTTTGACTCCTAAGCCCTAATGGCTAGCGTTACCGTCCGTCCCTCCTTGACTTAATCTGCAAAATCAGAGACAAGAGGATCAGTTCCGCCGTCACGTAATCCGGGAGAACGTTAGTCCAGTCATTGTGCTGGCATGATTCGATTAAATCGGGCTCGACTGACGGGACAAGTGTCGACAGTAATTCGAGGCCATCATCGACCTCAAAATCAATTGCTGGACAGGATATCTATAACGTGAAAAAACCGAGCCAGATCGCCTAGAAACAGTCCCACTACGCTGCGTGAACCTGACATGTTGATATGTACGCATGCATGCGCCAATCACGTCTCGCGCGAGCTAATGACCAGCTTGCCCGCCGACGTTGCGCCTTCGTCCGTCTATGCTCTCGTTGGAGTTGGGCAGAGGAGTCTTCCCGTCGAGACACTTCGCCGGTTTGCCAGATTCTATTTGGCGAACCACGGGAACTTCTTCTTGTTGTACTCAGCACCACCGCCCGCTGTGCTTTCCAGCTGTACACTCCGTTGATATATCTCCTGGAAAGACATGTTAGTCATGCTGTGACGTTGACAGGGGTTAAGACCGCACTTACTTCTTCATCCGTTGGCATCCTGCAATCCAAAATCAGCTCCCTGGCTGCCTCGTGCTTCGAGAGGTTCGGATACGCAGTTCCCTGACTCTTCATGAGCGGCAGCAGTACTTCACCAAGTACCTCGAATTTCTTCCAGTTGACTCTGTCGCCTTCAGGCCCCACAAATGTTTTGCTTCCCTCCTCGGCCGAGACCAGGTCTCTCCGGTGTAGCGGAATGTAGGGTATCCGTGGCAACGGGGAATTCTCCCATGCCAGTCGGTACGCAAAGTGACTCTTTTGTGTACCCATGAGAATGCCCAATTTCGCAAACGACTTTTGTGCTTCAGGCGGCACTAGTGCCCACGTCTGCGCCAACCGATGGACCGCCGTGCCGTTGATCCCTGCGAGCACCGCCGCCAAACCGTTGTAGTTGTTGAGCCGCCGCAGCTTTTGTGCAATGTTCATGAACTTTTCTAGCATCTGAGACCGATGCTTTGCCTTGTCTCGTAACAATATGAGATTGGCAACCCACTTCGCCACGTGGTTGAAGTGGTTGATCATCCGATTGACGTTCTTGAGACTCTTGCATTTGGATCGTTGCTCCAATGAGAGACTCACATGCCGCACAAAGTCTCTGATGCGGATGGAAGAAAACATGACCCAGTCGATGCGCGTCATCTCATCGGCGATGTCGTCGTCCGTGATGTCCATGAAAATATGGTAACGGAACTTGTTCATCGGTAGCACATCCGTGGGCTCCATGTTCGCCGCCTCTCTTTCGTATTCGTCGTAAGAGTGAAAGGAGACGTGCGTGCCCACACTGCTCGTCCTGTCCACTTGGGAAAAGTCGGAGCTGCCAGAAGGTCTCTCGTCTGGAGTCCTGTCGTCGTCAATGGTCAAAGTGATCATACCATTGGATATGTCTGATGTAGAGCGCGTCTTTTCTCTCGACAAAAGTTTGCTGCCTTCTTCGTCTGCGACTTCGTCCGACTTTGCCCATCCGGTGTTGTCATCCTCCACCACACTGAATTCGAGATGTCGCCGAATTTGCTGCGCAGCGATGGAGAAGATTGGCTCGGTGGAGAGATGTTTGATAAACTCTTCTAGATTTCGCCTCGTTCCTGATCGCGCAAAATCGCCAGGGTACAGCGAGACCCATTTTGCGACGACCTCAATGATTCTGAGCTGTGTTGCGGTCTTGGAAAGATAATGTGCTGCTTTGTCGTCTCTAACGCGGTCAAGTCGCGTAAGTATAGCCGAGAAGAGCTCGCCTGGTGCTGCAAACTTCCGGTAGAGACACAAGAAAACATCGGAGAAGTTGTTGTCCGCTTTGGTCATCCGGGGAGCAATGAGCCGGTCGACGAGTTCGTCAAAGGCCACACCTGCTGACTTGGTCGGCTTCTCGAGGAAGCTATCATCGCTCCGCTGAAGAATGGGGACCTCCTCCGAGTATCTGAACGATTCGGCATCTGACTCCTCCATGTCTAGGAACGAATCCGTTGGCCCGCGGTCGAGACGTATCCCAGGTGTCCGAAGCTGACTCGAGACAGTTTGTTGAGACTCCTCCTCAATGGTTTCGGATGGGCCGAACGAGCCCGAACTTGAAGGCGCGCCACCAAAGTCGGCTATTCGAGGACTTCGTGGAGGATGTGGGCCACGTAAGTGATCGGGGATGGGAGGGGGAACACCTCGAAGAAGCGACAAATCAGAGCTCGCTCGGCTATGTTTACTCTGCTGACTTAGCGGGCGTCCGTTGGAGCTGTCGTGGGCCTCGAGGTTGGCCGCCGAGGCTGCACGACGGCGGGGCATGCCCGACTCCGATTGTGATTCTGGCATTTCATCAGCATTGATATTGACTACTTGTGCATTCGATCATGGGCTCCAATTACCCTTGCGGTAAGCGATCGAGGCTTTCAAGGTTGTGTTCAAACACGCTCTGGCGCGTTCCGGACTACTTGTAGACAGATTGAACATCCCAACGCACGACTTGAAATACTCGTGGCTGGCGACTCGCTGCGAATCAACTTGCCGTTCGCTCTCTGGATGATCGCATTTGTTGGCGACCAGGACAGCCGGCAGACCCGACTTTGTTAAAGCAGCTAGCGCGTGTCAGCAAGACGCGCCGCGTCCAGACGAATCAAACGGCGGGAATTAGGCTCACCAATCGTTTGGGGCAATTCCTTCATGCTCTCTTTATTCATGACGTCGTAAATAATGAGGGCGCCATCGACCCGCGGGACGATGTGGCCGTTGATCTGTTTCGGCCATTGGATGGGCTGCAGCGGGTTCAGCTCAAAGTATTCGAGGTCAAGCTCGATCAGCGTCACGCCGTATGTGACGTTGTCGACGACCATGCGGACGCTGGATGCATTGGTAATGGGCGGTCGCGATAGGCCCAGCACGCGCTGGACGAAGGACGACTTGCCAACGCCCGAGGCGCCAATGACTGCGATATTGAGGCTCTCCATGATGGCGGAGGTTGGTGGTTGCTATGATCGTCAGCCCCTTTTTTCCACTCCCGTCTCATCAGCTACCCCGCAGTCTGTTTCTAGTGGGGCATTATTACCCAGTACAAGGAATGTCCTATTATCAACGACTCTCTTCTTGGGGGCGGCCAGCGCTCGTTGGGCGTGTCGTCATCGCGGAACTCGAAAGCGTCGAAATCGAATTCTTCCTCCTCCTCGTCTTCGTCCTCCTGGCTGTCGTCCGCGTTTTCCTTTTCGTTTTGGTTTTCTTCTCCTTCGTCTTCGTCTTCGGCGTCGGCGTCGTCAAATGAAGTCGCAGCCCAACGAGGGTCAAGTGCAAGCGCCCCTTCAATGTTGTTATCGTCAAATCGCAAAAAGAATGGGTCGTCGACTATGGAGATGAAGGAGTCGCGGTAATTGGCAGGTTGTTCGGAGCCAGTGGCAGAGGGCCGTATTGGCTCGATCGATGACTCTCGGTGGACAGCGTAATGGGGTGTATGTCTCTTCGGAGCGGCCGGGGCGGATCGATGAGCGGCGTCGCGATCGGTTCTTCGGGAGGAGGAGGAGAAGGAGGAGACAGCGGCGGCGGCAGTTGAGTGGTCGGCGTGATAGTATTTCGAAGGTATGCGGGAGCCTTCTGAACTCCTGTGAGCCTTTCGAGCTCCGTTAGGGTCGGACGCCATGGCCACGACCAGGGGAGGGCAGAGGCTATTCGGGGGAGGCAAACAACATACAATGTGCAAAGAAGAAGAGATTGAAAAGATCACGACCGAACAAGAACAGAGCGGACTGGCAGGGCCTTGGGTGAAAACCAAACTTTTGGGACAGTGGATGCACTGACTAAGAGCCGGGATTTCAGAGCCTCAAGGAAGGCATGGCAAACCCACCGGGGACCGTTCTTCTTAGTGTGGTCTGCCTCGTGTGTACCTTGCTTCTCGTCGGGGGCCCTTGGAAATGGTTGCTGGGCCGGTGAGAAACCTTGACCAAAGATTGGGCAAGCAAGGTGTGCGTATGGTCAGGTAGGTAAGGTACAGTGTAAGGTACGTACGAACGGGACTGCGGCTCGTCAGATCAGGTACACAAGCGTATCCGTTAGAGGTACTGGGTGCGTCTGAATAGCGCGAACGCAGTACGGATACTTCGTACGGATAGGATGGGACAGGAACAGGAACAGGAACAGGAGGAGCAGGATAGAGCTTCGTGGTGCGGCAGACCAGGGGTTCGAAAAAGGGGCCTGGTTTATTTTTTTTTCTCGCTAGGAGCTCCACCGGTGCGCAGATGTCGGGCTTGTGAGAAGTGACGGGCGTGGATTGAGAGGAGCAGCGTAAGCGTCCAGGTTCGTCGACGATGCTAGACACACAGCAAATGAGGTCAGTCGCGGATCCAGGCCAAGGGCTCCGGCCCCTTCCAAGCTCCAGCAGGGAAATTCAGGAAGGGGGGCCAATTGACGCGGCGCATACGGTGCAGGGCCGAGCTTGCTGCGATTGCGATTGAGATTGGGATTTAGGATTCTGCCAACTTGGCTGGGCGATGATGGGGGGGAGCGTTTGTCCCCTCTAGCGTTGACTAGGGGGTTCAAGATCGAACCAAACCAAAAGGACACCAACGACAATGGCACCTCTGGTTTGTAGCACAGCATGTGCTGTTCCTGTTGCTTCTGGAAGGGGGCCGGGGGCCCGGGGATTGGTAGGTTTGCTTCCTTACGTACCTTTTGGTCGTTGGAGTTGGAGTTGTGGATGGTTGAATCCTAGGCTGCGCTGGTTTGGGACCGGACTTGACCAAGTAAGATGAGGAAATGGATAGGGGTGGTGGTGGTGGTGGAGGAGGAGGAGGAAGAAGAAGCGTCAAGGTCCCGTCAGGAGACGAATTGAGAGACTAACGGGAGAGCGGGAAGGGGCCGCGACGATCAGGACCGCTGACCGAGAGACGAGCCGTTGAGGGGTAAGACCGTAAGGTACGGATACTTTGTAGGTAATACGGAGCAAGAAACCCGAGGTTCTAGTGATTACGGCGTAAGGTGTCCGTAAGGTAGTTGGTATATGTTGCTGCCGACCCTACCGGACCTCAGAAAACGAAAGGCGCGGGTACGCTCGCTGGTTTATCAGCGAGTTGGAGTAGTCAAAATAGGTGTACAGAGATGAATAAGCGTATCCGTCTCTCTGGTGGGAAATGCAGCTGTTGCGAATGGCTAGGTACTCTATCACCTGCAACGGGGGGTTCGGGACAGAAACGGCTGCATGAGACAGGACTGAACGTGGAAGTGGACGGGAGCAACCAGGCAAGCGGAGAAAGGGACAAGGGATGTTCCACTGCGCCCTGTGCAGCTGGGCTGGGCTCTTTCCGTTCTACTGTGTGTACTTACTAGCAGGTACCTAAGTACTTCCATTTCTGGATGAGGAGGAAGGAACGCTGTGAAATCAAGAAGGAAGCTCGGGCCCCCGGCACCACGCGAAGTGGATCCAAGGTCCATTTTGTCCGGGGCCTATCTATCCAATGACAAGACTTGTAAGCGTTGGTAGCACTGGACCCCTTCGACGTCCACGGAACGTTTGAACTTTCCTTCTGCCGAATGATTGGTCACCGTTGCTGAATTCATCCTTCCTCTCCATTCAAGATATCTCGAGACCCTCAGTGGCTCCAAATTCAAGGTGGAAACTTGAAAGTGCAGGGAGACAGCTGCTACCTTTCTCGGTGGATATGGTTTGAGTCCGTAGGTACCCAACGGATACTCATACGGCCCTTGCTGCTCCGGTGGACCTCCCTCCTCCAGAAGCTAGGTAGACACTTACTGGACCGACCTAACTTAAGTACCTTGGACGGCTTCGATGCACCAAAGGTACCTAAGGTGTTGTGCATCCGTAGCTGCCGCTGCTTCTTAACGCCAACCTGCCTTACCAGTACCTTCACTGCCTTCCGTTCCTTGTATTGAGCAGCCCGAACTACATACCCAGTAGCCCACCAAAAATCAAGTCAAATCAAACCTCGTGAACCATGTCGTCCGGGGTTCACTCCGGCTCGCTGCTCCGGCTCCAGCTTCCTCATTGCGACCAACATCACCAACTGGCGGTCTGCAAACTCTACCAGCTCAGGACTTGAACCCCAGATGAACATCCCTATGTACACCAAGACCTACTATTATGCTTCTTCCCACTGCTCTCACGAGGTACGCTGCACTTGTCCGGACAATCTACCTTTTTCAGCAGCAAACTCACTTACGCCGAAACCCAATACCAGCTCACCGATGACGTACGGATATCCAGTTCGCGACGAGCTCGCCATGGGTCAATCCTGCAGGCTGCAGGGCCAAACTCATGCCCAACAAGCTTCTGTCAAGAACAATGCTACTGGCGCGCGTACAGACACCATTCATGTCTCAAGATGAAGCAGTTCAACTTGTGCCATGATCTTCCGGCGCCCAAATCATCGCAATTTCGCATCAGCACGTGGTCCGCAGGCCAATAAAGCTTCCTAGCTTAGCTCCACGAGCTTCTGCAGGGTTGCTTTCACCATCAAGCCATGCTTCCGAAACGCACCATCGTTGACTCCTTCTCATACTAGCAGTCACCGTTCACCATGTTTGGAGCGAACCAAAAAAAGACTCCAGATTTCGTCTCGAAATAAGCGGCATTCCAAGGTGTTTTCTCCAGGAATACGATCCCGGCAATGGCTCTGAGCCGTTCCAGTAGCTCGGGACCCGGTAGATTGCCGGTCAGCTTCGGTCGGCATTGGCACGCAGATCTGGCCTCGACATTCCACCAGGCCGGGTTGCGATGCAAGCTGCTCCATCTACGGATATTCCATCAGGTATCTTGCCCACTTCACGGCGGAGACAGATAATCTTGTGTATTTCTGTATGGTTGCGGCATCTTCGTTCAATGCGCCCGACCTCCCTGGACATCTGACGACGCACCGGCCTCAACTCGGACTATTGGAGCCTAGTTCGAATAAACTTCTGTCAAGAATTGAGCACGGTTCATTGAGAAATTGCCTGGTCATCCCTCGTCCCAAGCCATTTTCTACCAGAGGATCGCAATAATGAAGAAATGGTACCGGCATCTTCAGCTTCAACGAACCCCCCTTTGCAAACACCAAATCGTGCTACTTGATCCTTCTCCGTTTCACGATGGAAACAACTTATCGTTCGACTTTCTGACACGAAGGATTAGCAACCGGCGCTGACACGGATCGCAGTGGAAATAACGTCGTCGACTAAATTGTGGCCGCGTTCTTGGCATCTCTCCACTGGAGGACCCTTGTCTTCGGCCACGTTCCTGCGCTTTGGCTACGGATATAGTTACGATTGCCTCCATCAAAGTGTATATCACAAGCTCCCACATGAAGTCCTGGTCTCATCCAACATCAGCTGATGGCAATATCGCGGCTAACACTCATTGTTCTCGCGATCTCGTCCGCACCTCGAATCCAAGTCAGTGCAACACAATAGCACTGGCTCTAGCCGACCTTTTTTTCTTTTCTTTCTTGCTTTTTCAGGTCTGCAGCGGGAGAACCGCATGGTCGATAAGCGGGCCGATTGTGGCATTGGCCTTCTCAATAGACTGAAAAATGCCAGCCACGGCTTGACGACGGCGTCGTCTGGCGAACAGTACCCGCCTCACTTAGTTATACGGGCTGCTGCTATACCCAAACCATCGTGACCTGGAATGCCATGCTCTCGCTCAACATTCTTTGTGAGGACCGGCAATATTCGAAGAGGTTCAGGTACATATCAAGCTGAGGGACTCGACATTCCGCTCTTGGCGATTAGGCCACGTCTAGGTCGCAAACCACACATTAGGCCTGGCTCGGCTCCGAGAGAGAACACAAGGGAACTGGGCGTGTTGGCAAAGTCCAAATGGTCAGCTTCGGATCACCAATCTTTATTTCATACACTTGCAGCTGTGGCGTCGCAGAATGACTTTTGTGCCTCCAACAACTACGTACGGATACAGGGAATGGAGAGCTGCTTGTGGGGTTCGTACGCGGCAGTTCAGGGTGCCGCCAGCAACACACTCGATGGATGCGTGGCTGCATCGCCAAGCTGCATGATATGGCTTCGTAAAACCCAGCGTAGGGTTACATGGAAGGCGATACGAGGGCAAGACATGCAGACGTGCAGCAAGCTGCACAAGTGGACATCCCCATTCCTACGGCACCTTTCTCTCGCGATACCTCGCCTAGTCTTGTATGGCGTGTTTTGCATAGAGACCTTGCCGCGCTGGGAGCCGCGCCTCTTTGCGATATACGGATTGCGGTGAGAACGGTGAAGTCAGCGGACTGAGTGAGAAAAGCAAAAAAACTATCTTGGCGTGCCGTTCAGTTTGTTCGGATGGCAAGCAGAATTTCTCACCAAGGCAAACAGGCAGTGTTACCATCAACCGAGACAATTGCTGTTGGTCAGACTCAAAGTCGAGAGTCTAGAGTCTAGGGGTGAGATGCTGCGGTTCTATCCACTGGGTGCGCCTACTTGTACTGAGGAGATCGCGCCATGGCCGAATCCAGCGTGTGTTGCAGGAGCGTTAAGAGATAAGAAGACGCTTGGCGGACCATTTGCTGATCATACCCAATAGGGTTGATTCTGCCATTAGTTGGGTCTAACAACCTCCCTGGGGGATCGAGTCTTCCGGTTTCGTCTGCATCTGCAGCGTTTATTCATCAACCGTGTGGACATCACTCACTGCCGAGAGCCGCCGATCTTCCTTCTTCTTTGTCTCTGATAATTTCTTTTCTCTTACTTTTTCTCCGTCGACTTACTTGCTTACTGGCGGTGATATGGTGATGGTCCAAGACATAGGCGAGCCCAAGAGCCAACCTCACCATGCTCGATGGCTGGGATATCTTGAGGCTTCAGATGGCGCGGTCGAACTTCTTGTCTGTCGATCTCTCCGTACCCAGCGTGACAGCCCTCGTCTGGGGTTGGAAAGCTGGGGGAGACTGGGGGGGAGACGGTGAGCCGAAGGAACGTGGCATCACCTCCACACCCTCCCGTAGTCGACACCAGCAACCTCAACCCACTGCTCAGAAGACAGAAACGACACCGTCCTACTCGGTTGTGCGGCGCACGTGGAGCCACCGTGCATATCGAGCTTGTCAATGAACTAGTCACATCCCCCTTTACCCTTTCCCCTGCCGCAGCAGACTTGCTTCTAGCCTCCAGTCTTGACACTTGCAAGAAGCGCACCACAGGCTGCCCTACAGTGACTAACGCCCGCTTATACCCTTCGACACACATCAGAAGCATGTTCAGATCACAACGTACAAGGCAGGTTGGCCATTATCCTACCCTCCGACTCTGTTCCCATACAGAGGTCGGATGGTGGATTGCTGTCGAGGTTTCAGAACAGACAGCGCCACCGATGTCCGAAGAAGTGGTCGAGGTCTTTGGGCAGTGAGGGAAAAGGAGGATGAAGCCGGCTCCGTGTGGTGTCGGTGAAGCGTGCGAACGCCCGGAGACAGTCCCAAAGCGGCATCCGATCACTGGTCCAGTGTAACTCGGATGACCAACAAGGCGTCTAACATGTCGAGCCATACCACGTTTGTCCGGCCGGTTCATCCAAGAGGTAGGCTCAAGCACCACGGCCATGCTACCTTAATTTTTATTCTTCCCCCTTCAGTCCCCTGTCACCTTATTTTTGTGGTATATTTTCTTTGCAGGTCACGATCTTGGTCGAATAAGGAATGGTTCGGGTTAGCTGGTGGTGGTGGTCTCCCGGCACCCCAGTTCATGCGTGCCCTTACTCGCCCATAGGCTAGGGCCGATATTCTAGTGAAATCACATCGGACTAGTACGGAGAAGTCGGCTATTCGTACAGCAGGAGGTCGTCACGCTGAACACGTTGATACAACACCTCAGACGCAGGGTTGGTTGGTGCCGCCGAGAGAAGGAAAGGGACAGGGAAGAGGGAGTACAGAGTACAGGAAAGAAAGAAAAGGTCTAGGAGACTGGCGGTGGTATGCAGGTTTGATAGCTTGTCTGCCCCATGCGCTGCGTGCCGACAAGCGCAAAGAAAAGGTGGGCAACCCTCAGAGAAGGAAGTGTCCAGGGCCCTCGAGTCCCCATCCTCGCCGCTTAAGGTAAGGTACAAGTCTCCGTCAGGTAAGGTTACTGAGGATAGTAAGGCGAGGTGGGCTCGTTCAAGGTCCAATTCCCCGTCTTACAGCTCAGTGAGGCAAGGCGAGGGATCTTTTGAAGCCTAGTACCTGAAGCCAAATAAGCGGCGCGATGCGTGATGCGTGATGGAGGCGGTTGTATTTCCCAACCCCCACCTGCTTTAACTGCAATCCCGAAAGGCTCCAGAATGGAAAGTGCAAAGTAAAGCTTTCTTCCAAGCATGAAGCCGTTCGAAAATGCTTTTCCATGCTGACGGTATGGACTAAGAAGTATGGGATCCCCTGAGATTCCGAGTACTTGTCTGCCTTTGGTCTAAATGGATGCAAATGGTCTCCAATCCAACCCCCATGCATTCATTCCCATCCACACCAGGCCACGACCATGACCAGAATTACTCAGTCCTTCAAGCCATTAAATACCATCAGAGGTGTCTAAAAATGCAACCTATGGAACGCTCGTGTCTTTCAAGACATCCGTGAACCCCCCTTGTGGTTTTTAATTCTTCACCTTCCCACACCCCCTTCGCAAGCCGGTCTCTTCTCGCTACCTACCACTTCTCCCTCTCAGTCACTTTTTCTTGACTCTTCAGCCCTCTCTTGTCTCTCATCTCTTTCCTCGGTCTTTCGCTAGATCGCCCTCACATTTCTCACACACAAACACCACGCACACCAAACACCACGCAAAGTCGAGTGTGTTGTCTCTCCAAATCCTTCCTGCGCCAGCCCACCACCCACAAAAACCCACACCCTCCGTCGTCCGTTCAGCCAGACCGGGCTCCCGTCCCATTCTCTGTCTCGCCGTCACCACGCGCGCATACGGAGAGGTATAAGAAAAAAGACACAGAGAGGAAATAGCACGCTTGGTGGCAGGTCTGAAGTTTGTCCCCGTGAGGTACATATTGTCTGGGACCCTGCGGGACTAGCGACGCACACCACCACCGACATCTTCTCTTCCATCTTTTCCGCCTTACTTTTCTTACTGTCTCTTGTCTCTTCTGTCACTGTTACTTGTCTCTGTTTAATCGACCTTTGCGTACCTCAACATCACACACATACGCACACACATACACAGACATCTCGCCCGACCTCATTCACCACCTTCCAACCGCCGCACTCAGGCACGCACAACACGCACGCACCAGCAGCCCCCAAAAACGCAGGTCCAGCAGCGCCTTGGACGTCCCCAACAGCCGACAGGACGACAGGACCCTTGACACCGCGACAGGAAGAAGAGCTCTGTGACCCACTTCACCTGCCTTGGTCCATACGGACGGTGGTGCATCTCGCTCGCTTGAACCTTGGTTGAGCCCGCGTGCTACTTGCTGGCTTGCTTGTCCGGTTCCTACGTCCCGGTCGTATGACATATACATAACCCCAGAACACCCCGAGACCGCTGTTTAACCCAAGGGTCACTCAGCTTTCCAACTGTAGACCCTTCTTCATCTTTTCTCTCTCTCACTCACAGGGGCGCATTCAACCGGCGTTCACGTCAAAGGAAAGCAAGCCTCTTTTTGTGGCAGCGGATGTTACCTACATGACTACTACCCCTGCCAGGAAACAAACAACCTTAACTACCCGACCCGACTTGCTCTGACGATCAACCCACCCCCGCGTTCTCTCAGTTCACTCAATTACCCACTGGAGCATCTCCATTCATACAAAAAAAAAAGCGCCCTCTGTCCGGAAACGCTCTTTGCGACTACGTCTTGTTTTTCAAATAAACTCGGCACTGAGCGCACAACTCGCCATTCACATTCATTCCGGAATTTCAAAGATTTGAATCTCTGATTGGAACCTTGATCCCGAGTATCGGTGGAGTAGCTTCCATTTCAGCGATCAACATGTTATACAACATGAGCTACCCTCGTGATCAGCCGACGGCGGCGGCAGCTCAGCCCATCAAGCCAATCGCCCCTCCTCGGCCGAGACAGCGGTGCTCGCAGCCGATGCCTTTCGACCCCGAGGAACTGTCTCAAAAACTCGTCAAGGTCCTTGCCGATCAGAAGCTTCACGCCGAGAAGAGAAGGAGAGCCAGGGCGGAGGCCACCGCGCCGTCCAAACCGGCAGCGCCAGCTCCAGCCCTCAACGGGCTACAAGATGGCCACCCACAGCATGCAAGCCTGGCTAGGGAGTATCTCGATCAAGGGTCACTCAAGCCCGGCCAGTCCACCACCACCAGACCTGCGCAGCCTACCGTAAAGCCAACCAAGGAGAGAGTAGACTCTGGCAGCTCCGCAAGGTCAAAGTCCAAGACGTCCGACGCAGACACCCGCAGCTCCAAGTCTGGCGGAAAGGACTCGTCCTCAAAACGAAAAGGCTCTGACGGTGACAAGCACCCCTTCATCCCACAGTTCGCCGCGGCGCAGTTCTCGCGCACAACGACGACCGAGACGTCAGACAGCAAGGGTCTCGTTCGCAAGCTGTCGAGGACGGCCCTCAGGATTGCGCAAGGCCACCGCGAGAGGCACCAGGACCGCGCTCCCATCACCCACGAACAGATTCCGGAAATGGCTGAGCTGGGTAGCCCCCGCGCGCATCGCGACCGAAACCACCACAGACACACCATTGAAGGACCGCTGGGTGTTGGCCGGGCCGGTGAGGTGGACCACGCCAGATCTGCCAGGCGGGCTACAACCGGCGATATTCTCCTACCCTTTGAGTCTGGTGCCTCTTCGCCGTATCATCTCGATGATCCCGAGGCTGGGGATCACAACCCCTATGAGCACCGCGTGGACTGGACGCAAAGCGACGAAGCGCAGCCGCAGCCAAAGACCAAGCCGTCACTGCGCAAGGCGGATTCCATATGGGCTCTGAAGCATAAGCTCGGAGCCCTCACCAGACACGGGCGGGAAGAAAACCACTCCCGGGACAGCAGCCCGCCGTCCGACACTGCCCTGAGGTCGCCCAAGAGCGGATTCTTTGCGCGATTCAAAGTCAACCACTGAGCTCTGAAAAAAAAAAAAAACTTTGTGTCAAGGGAGTAAATAGGACCCTTACCTGATGATCGATACCACCTATGCATACACGGCGCGGTTCTGCAGCACACACTCACGGTCGAACGTGTGTATACGTACGCCTTATCCAACACAGGGCCCGCCGCATAATACACGCAGGCTCGCCCGCCCTAATCATACCATAACCCAATCCAAGATCCACAAAACGCCCTCTCACCCGCGGTCCTCCGTCATGAGGCGCCTAATCAGTTCGGCATCCTTCTCGGCCGCCTGTTTCCTAATCACCTCTTCCGCCTCGGCCGCCGCGCTCGCCTGCGACATGAGGTGGTTAATGAGCTCGACGTACTCCCTCACGCCCTCGCCGTCCTCGCCGTCGGCGGCCCTGGCCCTCCGCAGCGCCTCTTTCCCCTTGCGGATCCCGACGTCGTGCGTCCACTGCTCCTTTTTCGGGTTCGCGGCGGCCAAAGCCCGCGCCTTCATCATGTCGTTGAGGCTGCTCCCCGTGGACTGCAGCTCCGGCGGCGGCTCCGTGGCGGCGAAGATCTCGAGGAGTCGCGCCTGCAGCGTCGGGTACCGTCGGAAGAGGTACCGGAGCTGGTCCGAGTCGTCGAGGACGCTGAAGGGGTTCCTTGGGTCGCTCGCGGCGGCGGCACCGCCGCTCGGCGCGGGGGGCTCGATCGCGGCTGAGGCTGGTTTCGGCGCCGGTTCGGGGTCGGGGGGGTGGTTCTCGCGGTGCGTTTTGTTACACGGGACGGAGCAGCTGGGAGGGAGAAAAGAGGAAGCCCACAAGTCAGTAAAGATAATGTATATAATGAGGAAACAAACCACGTATAATGAAGAATGAGTAACTTCTGTAAGAAAACGACACGAAACAGACTCGAGCATAATTGTGAAAAGTACCTACAATGGTAATGCGCAGCGCGTGCACTTGTATTTTCCCTCTTTTTCGTGACACACACCACACATCTTTGTCTTTGGCGCGGACGGGGGAGGCTGCGTCGTCGTCTCTGGCGTCTCGTCTGCTGCTGCCCCTGCCGCGGGTTGTGTCTGCGTCTGTGTCGTTTGCGCCGCCGCGGGAGCTGCTGAACCGTCGCCGGCACCGGCACCGGCACCTAGCTCACCCTCGCCTTCCCCTGCCGTCAGTGACGCATTCGCCATCGCCGCCGTCGTAGCCCTCGTCTTTGCCTCGCCATCGTCTTCGTCGTCTTGTTGCGAGGGGCTCGTTGCGCGGGACCGTTTCGTGGCGGGTGGTTGGGATTCGGGTTCGGTTGCTAGGTCGTCTTGCGCGGCGCGTTTGGGGGACGTTGGGGGTGCGGTGGCATTGGTGGAGGCGGTGTCGTCTGGGATTGACATCTTGGGAGGAAGGAGTAGGGAAGCTGGCGGTTTGGTCGGTGACTTGTTTGGTTCTGGAGAGGGCGAAGGGGAAGGGGGGTGGGAAGGGGTTGTCGCTGGTGGAAACGAGTGTCGTGGAAGAGTGCCCGTTTGCTAGCTGGGGAAGTTGCTCTCCGTTGTCGGGTATGTTGCGTCGATGCTCTGACGCTCTCCGAAAGGGAAAAAAAAAAGTAAATACGGATAAAGTGCTGACCAGAGACAAGGGTAAGGTCAAGCCTTTGCGGTTCAGGGTATGGATAGGCAGGTAGGCAAGGTAAGGTGGTCAAGGATCGAGATAACGTCGTTTCGTTGGTCGTTTTCAGTAACGATAACCCCGCGTCCCTTTTTTTTTTTTTTTCCTTTCTGTTTTCTTTTCTTTTTTTTTTCTGCCAGTTGGGTTGCGAGAGACTTCTCTGCTTTGGGCTCCTTTTCGAAACTTTTTTCTGCCGTCTGTCTTGTTTGACGATTTCCCGGCGGGGCGTTTCCTCCATAATACCTAGGTAGACTACTACGTAAGGTATAGGAAAGAGGGCGGTGAAAGAGGCCCCTTGACCGCCAAAATACCTTACCTTAGCTGTCCCCGAGCTCCCCACAAAAAGAATTCACTTCATGGAAATCGGGAATTCCACGGACCAACCCGAGGGGTTCCATGAGTTGCAATTTTCTGCGTCATTCTTACCCAGCTGTCCGAACACCCCCCGGCACACTGACCTGACTGTGTGGTCCATCTTAAGGTGCCATCCGCTGAACCCCCGTGCCCCCGAAAGGACCCAAAACTGACCAATTCACGCAGAGAGCCTCGATGATTGGTAATGCAACGCCTCGGAATTGAGAGGCAACTGCAAAAAAAGTGGAAAGCTCTTTCCAATTTTGTCAACCTTTTTCCTCGCGCTGTAATTTGCCCTGCTGCAAAAAATAAAGGTTCCGTCACCGGATGTAATGCCGAGGTGTGAGGTTTGGTAAATTTGTACGTCTGAATAATCAACATTCTCGACATTACACCTTCCCCTACCTACATACACCTTCATTCGACGACTTCTCTTCCCTTCACGCTTGGACAACCAACTACCTCCCCCCCCCCCGACATTGTAAATTCAGTCAACAACGACAACAGCGACGAATAAACAGATCGGAGAGAACCCGACGACCATTAAACACATTTCCTTTTCGCCACGATGTCATCGTACAGAGCAACGAGGACAGCCCTCCGCGCCGTCGCGCGCACATCGAGGCCCGCCACCTCCAGACCCTCACAGTCGCGATCCTTTGCCAGCGTACACACCGGCTTCCTCCAAAACAACCAAACATCACAACGCCGCCCGACGACGACAACAACAAGTCGACACCAACAATCATCGCTGCAGCGCCAATCACCCTTCGCCGCCCGCACCGGCGCCGTCCGCACAATCTTCATCCAGACCGAAAACACACCCAACCCAGACGCCGTAAAGTTCCTCCCGAACCACCGCATCCTCCCCGACACCCTCTCCACCCCCTTCATCGAGTACCTCAACCCGCGCTCCACCATCGCGCCGCCCTACCCCTCGCCCCTAGCCGCCCAGCTCATGAACATTGACGGCGTCACCTCGGTCTTCTACGGTGCCGACTTCATCACCGTCAACAAATCCCCCGACGCGAACTGGGCACACATCCGCCCCGAGATCTTCGCCCTCATCACAGAGGCGATAACTTCAGGCCAGACCATCGTCACCGTCTCGGCGGACAAGGAGGGCGGTGTCGGTGCGGCCGCCGACGGCGCCCCCGAGGAGCCCGATAGTTTGGCGTACGACGAGAACGACAGCGAGGTCGTCGGCATGATCAAGGAGCTGCTCGAGACTAGGATACGGCCCGCTATCCAGGAGGATGGTGGCGATATCGAGTTCCGCGGGTTCACGGACGAGGGTACCGTGCTGCTGAAGCTTCGCGGCGCGTGCCGGACGTGCGATTCTAGCACCGTGACGTTGAAGAATGGTATTGAGAGCATGTTGATGCACTATGTAAGTTGACTCAACATCTGCGGCTCTTGCAGAGTTTCCTAGAGACTTCCTGCAAAGTGCCACCCAAACGACCTTTAAACAATCGTGCTGACATTGGCATTTCTAGATCGAGGAGGTCAAGTCCGTCGAGCAGATCCTCGACCAGGAGGAGGAGATTGCCATTCAAGAATTTGCAAAGTTTGAGGAGAAGCTCAAGTCCCAAAAGGGGCCCGAGGCCACCGCGGCATAAACAGTAGCTCGCTCGAATGCGATATGAGGAAGACTGTCTAGAAGTGTTTCCCAAACACTTTCCAGAATGACGAAACAACAAAATATTGAGGAGGCGCACGATACCTGTAGAACTGCTGTATAATTAAAGAGAAACGTTTCATCCGGCTTCAACCCGGTGACGTAGACAATAACCACTGCCAAAACCGTACACTGCTATTCTTTCATCGCAGCCTCGTCCACCGCTGCGTAGGGTGCGCCAGCCTCGCATAGTCAAGGTGTGCACTGGTAATGAATGACCTGGTCCGAGACCTACCTCGCAAACCGCTTTCGCTAAGCCTCGTGTTCGGTCGGATGTGATGCCTCACTGACCCGGACTGGGCTGCGTCGCCTCGAACGTAAAGAAGAAAGGGAAAAGAAAAAAGTCAAGTTCCGAGCCGAGGCCGGTCCAGGTCCAGATGGATGACGATCCGGGCCAGCCTATGAGGGCCCGTTGCGCACAACCCTACCACCGGCGGCGTCAAGTCAGATTGCAGAATTCAGACCAATGCCGTCGACAATGCGAGTAAAGATCATCCATGGCCTGCTAAAGCCTGACCAGCCGCGGTCGAGACCAATATCCATCGTAACGAAATGCGCAGGCCCAGCAGGGTTGGCGGAGGGTTTTACCTATTGCCCTCGTCCTGATTGGACTCTGGCCCAACCAAGGGTTGCTGCAGCGGATCAGGGCGGGGAGCCGGGGGTGATTGTTCCCGTGCAGGAACCCCTCATCGAATCATCGAAACCCCTCAACTCTCTTGCGTCTTGACGTCCCCACGGGCCTGCAATCCAGAGAATGGTTTTCACGTTCAAGCCCTTTCAAGTTCCATACCTCATCAGAACGGCCATCTCCGGCTTGTTTCCCACCCCTCTTTCTCTCCTCAAACAGGCCTCAGGAGGTCAACGGCCCACCGGCTTCCTGGCTCGTCTTTTCTGCTCGGTCAAGTTTAGGTTCCTTGACTTCCGCTGATCTCGTGCCGCATCTCCTCATCATCATGCCAGTCTGCCGGGTGCATGCCTGTCCCGTCTCTGCCTCCGCACCGAATACCACCAGTGCCCCCTAGAAAGCGATTGGCAAGCCCCTGTTGACGTTGCTCCAATATCGCAGTACAGAACTAGTTGCGAACAGCAAGCCATGGTATTGATGCCGACTTACACTGTAATCTGAGGCAGACCAGATGCAAGAGCGGAACAGTTGCGGTCACGCCAGGTGGGCCAGGAGAGGGCCGATCTTGGAGACCCTGAGTATCCGTCTTTAGTTGCAGTAGCGCCGCTTGGTGGGCAGCAACTTGGAAGAAACCCAACATTCCAAGGTCAAACTTCCAGATGATTCCCTTCAAGATCCGCGTACGGACAACTGCTCCCAGGTTGGTGAATGTTTGACGTCCGCTCAGACGTTTTTCTGGCCACTTTTGACTTCTGGCTTCTTGGGGAGCCGTTGCAGCAGCCGCCCACGGTTGAGTTTAATGACAAGATGAGAATCCGGGGTAAAAGCCCCCTGGCTGATTTTGACTTTCGCCCTCCATCGGCTTGGGGGTGTCGTCGATCTCTATTCACGGTGCGGTACGTTGCGTTTCGTTGCCGTCTTTGATGGTCGCATTTGTAGACCACCAGATCACCCTATCAACTGCAGAAAATACCTGGGTATATCTCGTCATCTTCGTATACATGATATAGGTTGGGTTGCTAGGTCTCAAGCTCGGCGCATCTTCCAAAACTGAAGCGTGACGCTCACTCTCACTCTTACCAGAGTGTGGTTGATAGACATGCTGCAATTCGGGAGTAGAAAGGTATTCAAACGGCCAAAGGAAACTCTTCAACGCCGGATGCGTTCATACTCTCCTCATAGCTGGTCGATGGAATTAAAATGCGCGATTCTGCGCATCTAGTAGTGCATCGGCCTAGGGGCGGAAACTCATCCGTGGTCGCATTTATCTCAAAGACGCACCAGACATTGTCTCCGCCCACCGGTTGCCGGCAGTGCGTTCCTTCATCGTCGTCAATACTGCTTACCTGGATTTACATCTGATTCGATATCGAAAGCTCCTAACCGTGCCATACGCCTAGAGTCTGGATGATGCCACTGTGAGGTCAGTGAGACAATCCAATCGAAGAAGCCTTTGAAGATGAAGGAGGTTAGCTTGAGGATGGGCGCGCGTGACATGATGCAGCAGCCCGTTTACTCCACAGATCCTTACCCCTCTCGGTCTCGGAGAAGTGCCCTGAACCCAGACCTCCATCGCCAAACCTTCTGCCTGCATCTGCACATGCACCTCTGCCTCTAGTGGTTGCTCCCTTTGGCATCAGAGATGGTAGGTAGTGATAGTCTCCTCTAGGCCATTGACCGGCGATACCCAGTGCAAAAACTGGTCTGTCATTTCGTGGGTCGTGATCCTCTCTCCCTCTGCCGGTAGTAGTGGCCGTGGCTCCAAATTTCTTGCATCATGGCACTTGGGACCATGCCTCCTCTTCAGCCGATACTTGTGGAACAGGGTCTCAGCAACTTCGAGGCGTCTCATACTGACATTCAGTGGCGTGGACTGAAGGACGTTTCCTTGTGCCTTGTCACCTTGTTTGTAGCGTAACGTGAACCCACGGACATTTGTACAACATGGATCTAGTGCGGGGTGGTGAGGGATGAGGACCGATGGCAAGCTGCAGAATTCCAGCCACCCTTGCAACTTTCAACGGCAAACCTCCAAACTTTCCAGGGAAACCGCCATGCGAACATCGACCGTGGCTCCCGCTGCCGTACAAAGTGTTCCCGGACATGATGGCGCGTGCTCTATATTGCGTTCAAGAAACAGACGTGTTTGGATCACGACTGTGTCTCACGTACGTCCGCGACCTCGGCCAAGCAGTAGAAGGGTGAGACCCTGCAACGGCGAGACCACCAGATGTTCTTGGGCACTTGGGACGATGTATGCAGTCAACCGGTTGGCTGGCTCGACTTGCTGGTGGTTCAAATATGCTCCTCCTGATTGCAGCGCTATGCCACCGCTGACCGAAGTTGGACTTGGCCATTTGTTGATCAAGGGGCGAAAAGCCGCTAAAGGTTGGAGGATCGGCGATGGGCGAATGGGCTCAGCCTGTTACAGCCGCATAGAGGTCAGATGGCCATTTCATGCCCGGAGGCTGAGGGAAAGCATGCAAGAAGAAAGCTGCAGTATTAACGGCATCGTCGGGGACCACTCTGACCGCAGGTAGTATCCATGTCGGCGATCCGGAAAAGTTCGTTCCTCGCTCACGCTGGTTTTCCTAGGTGTTTCGATAGTGTAGTTTCGCTGGGTGATAGTCGCATCTTTAGAAGTTGTTCTTAGCCCTCAGATCCCCCGGACCACGGAAGAATGGTGGGCCGAAGGGAACATCGGATATCCAAACACGATTGTAGCGCCGGAATATTCAGAAATTTAAACTCCAATTCAATGTATGTAGAAAGTACGCCACGCTGGC